ATGTTCTACACATACCAGCTCGTTCTCAACGCATTCCCGTATGAAATAGTACTTCCTGTGAATGTGTTTGCTACAACCATGAAACACTGGATTCTTGGTCAAGGCAATCGCAGACTTGTTGTCTATCCGCACCACTACTTTCTCACATGCTGAACCAGTTATCTCACTAAGAAGTTCTTAAAGCCAGATCGCTTGCTTTGCAGCTTCGGTGGCAGCCATAAACTCGGCCTCACATGACGATAATGCAACTGTCTCTTGCTTCTGAGAACACCAAGTTATTGGACATTCATTGAGATAGAAAATATGTCCAGCTGTACTCTTCCCATCGTCTATATCGACATTATGGCTGCTATCACTATAGCCTACCAAACCAGTATTCTTGGTGCGAGAGAATGTGAGACCATATGCAGATGTTCCTCGCAGGTATCTCAATACTTGTTTCAAAGCTGCTCCATGAGACACTTTTGGATCCTGCATGTATCTACTCAGTACTCCAACGCTGAATGAGATATCTGGCCGTGTGTGTAGTAGGTATCGAAGACATCCAATATTTCTCCTAAATTCTGTTTCGTTGATGCTCTTTTCTTCCTTTGATTTAGACAGCTTCACTCCCAAGTCCATTGGAATATGGACTGAATTACATTCTTCCATTCCAGATTCTGACAATATCTTCTTTGCATACCTCTCTTGCCTTAGCGTAATGCCATCTTTATCTTGGAATACCTCAATACCGAGGTAGTAGGTCAACTTTCCCAAGTCACTCATTTCGAACTTCTTCGACATCTCTTTTTTAAACTCTAGAGTCAAGTCCAAGCATGATCCAGTAACTAGTAGATCGTCGACATACACAACTACAAGAATAAGTTTCTCTCCCTCCTTCTTGCGATACAAGGAAGCCTCCTTTGAACATCTTACAAAGCTTAACTCCCTTAGAATTTTGTTCAACTTATTATTCCATGCTCTAGGTGCCTGCTTGAGACCGTAGAGTGCCTTGTGAAGTCGGTATACCTTGTTCTCACTTCCTTTGATCATGAATCCTTCAGGCTGGCTTACATAAACTTCTTCTTTAAGCTCGCCATGAAGAAACACAGTTTTGACGTCGAGGTGATGAACTTCCAACCCGCTTGAAGCAGCTAGAGCGAGTATGAACCTGATCGTTTCAATTCGAGCCACTGGAGCAAATACCTCTTCAAAATCAATACCATATCACTGAACATATCCCTTTGCTACTAGCCTTGATTTGTATTGTTTATGCTCCCATCTGAGTTTCTCTTAATCTTAAAACCCCATTTTAGACCGATTGGTCTTGCTCCAGAAGGAAGATCCACTAAGCTCCATGTTTTATTTTTCTCAATAGAGGATAGTTCTTCTTCGCAGGCATCTCTCCATTCCTTGAGTTCTTTTGCCTCCTTATAATCCCATGGTTCATCGTTTGCAGCTAACATGAGACGTTCGCTCTCAACCTCTGTTAAACATACGAAATTGTTTAAGTAGGATGGTCTCATCCTTGATCTTGTGGATCTTATTAACAGAGGTAGAGAATCTCCTTCTTCATCTACATTATCGTTCTCATCTTCGACATCAGGCTGTGAATGCTCTGTTTCGAGCTCTTCCTCGTCATCAGTATTCACCTCCTCTGTTTCCTCTGTTTCCGTGACCCCTTCTTCTTCTCTTAAAACTTTATCTTTGCAGCCTCCAAGATTAAACGTGATCACCCCTGCATCATCGTTAGTTTCTTCCACCGATTTGCTCCACTTCCAGCTTTTCCTCTCATCGAAGATCACGTCTCTGCTAACAACAATCTTTTTACTCTTTGGATCAACTAGGCGATAAGCTTTTGTACCTGGTACAGTCCCTAGATGTACTAGCACACGTGATCTGTCGTCCAATTTCCTTAATTCTGGAGCCTCTGTTTTCGCATAACCAATACATCCAAAGACTCGAATGTGCTCCAAGTTCGGCTTCTTCTTCTTAAAAGCCTCGTATGGTGTTTGTGCGACCAGTGTTCGTGTTGCAACCCTATTTAAAAGGTACGTAGAATGTCTTACTGCCTCGCCCCACAAGTAGTTTGGAATATGCATGTGTTTCATAATGCTCCTGGTCATCTCTAGCAATGTTCTGTTCCATCTTTCTACTACTCCATTTTGTTGTGGAGAATATGGAGCAGTTAAGTGCCTTTTGATGCCAGAATCATCACAAAACCCTCTGAATTCTTGAGACAAAAACTTTCCTCCCCTGTCTGTTCTGAACGTCTTAATAGAGGTTCCTGTCTCCTGTTCTACCAGTGCTTTAAACCTTTTAAACTTGTTAAAAGCTTCACTTTTCTCCTTTAGAAGCAACGTCCACATGTAACGCGAGTAGTCGTCAATGAGCACAAAGATGTATCTGTTGCATGCTGCTGTAGAAGGACTAATTGGCCCGCAAAGATCTCCATGCACAAGTTCAAGTATTTGAGAAGCTCGATACTTTGTTGCTTGTGGAAACGATTTTCTTGTTTGCTTTCCGAGTAAACATGAGGAGCATGTGTCCTTCTCCACATTGATACTCGGTATGCCTGTCACTAGTTGTTTCTGTATCATCATCTTCATACTTTCTGAACCGATGTGACCGAGCCTTGCGTGCCATCTTGCTGATTCACTAAGTGTCATAAGCTGTAGACACTTAGTGCTCTCTACTTCCATTCGGACTTTGTAAAGCCTATTCTTTGATCTATTAGCCTTCACCAGCATCCTTCCATCTCGATCTAACAAAGTTAGATAATCATTCTTCATCCTAATGTCACACCCTGACTCTGTAGCCTGTCCAAGACTAATAATGTTGCTCTTTAATGCAGGTATGAAGTATACATCGGCCAGTACCTTTCGTTCTCCATCCTTGCTCACGAAAAGAATTGACCTTTTTCCTTTGATGTCGATACGTGAATCATCACCAAAGCGTACCTTTCCCGTAATACTTTCGTCAAGCTTACAAAGTATTTCCGATTACCAGACATATGATTGCTCGCTCCATTTTCCAAGTACCACACATTGTCTTCGTCAGCTGTTGTCTCAAACTTGTCTGGTTTCACATGTCTTTCGTTAAGATACACCACCTTGTGCATCATCAACTTCTCAGCCTCCTGAGTCTCATCTTCTTCTTCGGTCTCATGAGCCTCTTGCAACTTGAGTAATCTATCTGGGCAAACCGATGCATAATGTCCAGGTTTGTCGCACCTGTAACATACCAGCTTTGATTTGTCCTTGTCTTGTCTATATCCTCCACCTTGTTGACTGCCAAAACGACCACGCCCTCTTCAACGGCCTGAGAAACGTGCACCTTGACCTCTCCCTCTGCCATATCCTTGGCCTTCTTGGTTATCTGTGTTGGCCTACATAAGCTTTCCTTGATCTTCTATAAGTTTTCTTCTTCACTGATTCTTTCTTCATAGGCCTTTAGCCTTCCTATGATGTCGTCAAAAGGTGTTGTCTTCAGATCAAGTACTTGCTCAAGTGCAGCAACAATATGGATGTATCTTCCCCTTGGCAAACTACTGAGAAACTTTTTCACTAACTTTAGTTCGTCAATAGTTTCTCCAAGAGCAGCTGATTTTGTGGCTATCTCTGAAAGTTTCCCCACAAAATCGTCAATTGTGTCATTATCCTTCATCTTTATCCTCTCAAACTCAGACATTAGGGTTTGTAACCTAGCTTCTTTAACCCTTTCAGCTCCTAGATTCCTGCGGTTTATCGAGTCCCATACTTCCTTTGCTGTTGCGAGGTTACCTACTTGTAGCGTTAAGGTCTCGGGTATTGATTGGAACAAGAGTGCTTTTGCTAAGTCATCTTTCTCTCCTTCTGTAGTTCCGGGGTCAATAGCTTCCCAGACCTTATGAACTTTGAGTGCCGCCCTCATTCTCATGCACCATACCGTGTAGTTAGTGTTGGTGAGCATAGGGCATTGTACCGCCGAGGAGCTGCTCTCTTTTGCTTTGGTCGTCGCTGGAACAATATCTCCCATCGTCTTCTGATTGAAGAACTTTGGATAGTTTTAGGTTTAAGCTTTCTTCGAGACGAACCCTAGACTGCTTTCTTAGGTTTTAGTCAATGAAGCTCTGATACCAATTATTGAATGAATGAAAGATCAAAGTTTATAAAAAAACTTCTTTATTGTTTTAAGAAAATAACTCAAAACTTAAAGCCCTCAAACTCATAAGTTATGCCACAACTTGGCATCTCCTTATATAGAGGTTTAGATAACTCCTAAACCTATTGGATAAACACAACTTAGAATATTTCCTATTTTATTATCTTTTCCTAATCATATCTCAACTAGAAAAAGGATAACTTGCTCTTCAAGTCTTTTTCTTCTTCAAGCTTATTTCAACACTGTATAAGTCCTCAATGTGTTGAAAACATAACCCTCTACTGTGGTTTTATAAACCTCCACGATCTTACAGTGCATCTCGCACACTCTACTTTAGTTTAATGTACACGTTTCTTTCACACGTTTCTTTCACATGACATTATTTGCTTATTCATCGACGAAGCTTCCTAAAAGTCCAATCATTTGTTTATTAACATATAGAAATGATTAACCACATTCTCACTATTTTTCTGAGCTGTATTTTGCCCTTATCTTCCCTAGTTAACAGTTTTTTTTTGGGTCGAAATTCCCTAGTTAACAGTTAAATATTAATCACGAGTTTCTCGAGCATTGTTTTCTAACATTATTTTTTGTCTCCTTACAACTATGTAACAATAATGGATATAAAAATGTATATGTAGATATTATTATTATTCTTACGTTGTGGATTTTATATTTTCGAAATCTAATTTGCTGTTGTGTCGTTTTTTTCCCTCATCTTTTCTTAGAGTTACTTAACACAAGTTTTTTTCATATTTGTCGAACTTTAGCATTTTTACGAGACCTGAAGTGCTTCGACTACACCGTCTATAATCTCAGGCTCAATGAGTGGTTCATCTCCTTGAATGTTGACAACCATATCATACTTTTTCTCCAGGTTTCTAGTGCTTCGTTGCCATTAAAATGTATATGTGATTTATTTCTAACAGAACAATTCTTAATACGTAAAACATTTACGTTATGTACCACATTTAAGAAAAACAATAATTTTCATTACGTTATGTGCTTGCATCGAAAAGAAAATACAATCACGTCACTAAAGCATATATAAAACGCGAAAGTTGAGCGTTGCCTCTATCTTTTTCAGAAGTTACCAAAAAAATTGAACAGACGTTACTCTTTTAATGCAAAAGAGGAGCAAAAAATCGACTGCCTGAACATGACCTCGTAAAAAAAATGGTATAAATTGGCACTTTTATACCTTTTAGATGCATATGATCCTTAACAAAAAAAACAAAAAAAAACATCGATAGTTGAAACGATGAATCGCGTCTCATGTTTTTCGTTTGTCATTGTATTTTGCGTTGGATTGGGTGATGCGGGATTCTTGGATCAAAACTCCGTACAATTTAAAAACTCTCTTAAACCGGGAAACATTCTCACGGTTCGATGTGATTTAAACGATGACGATCTAGGTTACCATGATTTGAATCCTGGAGTAACCTACGAACTTAGATTTTATAATCGTCTTTTCAAAACCAAGATTAGTTGTGCATTTTGGCAGGGAGACTCCAAGCAAAAGTTTCATCAATATTTTAGGACATATACTGTTAGAATCCCACCTCGGAAGTTTAAAGGGATTAACACTAGTATATAAGGGACTTGGACCTCTCCACTTATCGCCAATTGGTTTTAAGTTGAAAGCCCAAGAAACTTAACATGGTATCAGAGCTTCGTTTGTTGACCCAATAAGGGTGGCTCAAAAAAGGTTAATTATCGGTCCTAAAATGGGATTCGATTCGCGATGGGCTGATAAGAGCCATCATCTCGATGAGGCGTGTTAGAATTTTAAAGGGATTAACACTAGTATATAAGGGACTTGGACTTCTCCACTTATCGCCAATTGGTTTTAAGTTGGAAGCCCAGAAAACTTAACATATACTGGTGGTCTTCATTATGGTAAAACAAATTTTTGGGATGTTAAAGAAGATGGGATTTAATTCACACATGGTAAAGAACCGTTCAAACTAGAGTATAAGTGGATTCCATTTTAAATGTAGTTCTTATTTTTTGTACTTGCAATGGATAGTTGTTGATTAAAAGATTCAATCACGTTTTTCTATGTGATTATTGGTGGATTTAGGAATGTTTTTGTTAAAAACAAACACATAATATATATAATTATCATAAAATCTGAATAACTCCAAACAGACTATTAATAATGGGAAATGCATAAGCTAAGGAATATATGAGAGGAATATGTAAAAAAAAAAATAATCATATCCATTTACAGAATTTGTGTCTAAGAATTCTCTGAACTCCAAGTCTGCAAGCTGGGGATAACCGGAATTTCTAAGATATCAGAGATACATTCCACATTGCAGGCATATATTATATAATGTTAGTCCCTAATTCGATTACACAAATGTCACACAAAAAAAGAAACCAAGGAAAAGGGTTCATTCAAGTATAAGATTTCAAAAGGAAGCTCTGTATTTGTGGACTAGGAAAGGTTTCTTTCGCGCATTAAAGATTCAATCTTTTCGATATCATCAGGTGTATCAACTCCATGCGCTTCATGGTCCACCTTTATAACCTGTGAAAACCAACATTTTAAAGCCTTAGTAATGCCTTTGAGTTACTTCTCTCTTATACCTTTTGATAATAGTGGGGAATGGTTCTGTTACCTTCATTTTGTAGCCATTCTCAAGGACTTTGAGCTGCTCTAGATCCTCTTCTAGCTGCAATGGCGTTGGTTGAAGCTCCGAATATACTTTCAGAAACTTGGAATCAAAGCTCTGATAACCAGAAACAACAAATATAACCGAGATGTGAATTATCATTTTAGAAAAGGTGAAATTTACTAATAGAATAAGAGAAACTGGCTACTCAGTACCTGGATTCCAAGATGAAGCATGTACGGGAAATCTGGATTGACTTTGCCACTCCTAAACCGCAGGAAACATAAGTGATCCGGATTACATAAGAAGCGTATACTAAGATAATTCATTATACCGAGGACACATATATAGAAGAGAAGAAAATTACTTGTTATAAGGAATCAAACCCCTGGAGAAATAGATAGCATAGCCACGGTTGTCCACCACACATTTGACTCGGTTAGGATCAAGTCCGTCTTCTGGTCTCAATGACGTCACCGCTGTGCTAAACACTGCATCAGGTGCTAACTGAAAATCACAACCATAAGAACACTATTCAACAGCTTTCAAAAATATTGAAGGAGCTTCACTTTGAAGACAGCCTAACTCCAGTCCAAGAATGCCAAACTTTAGCATTTTTTACAAGACCTGAAGTGCTTTGACTACACCGTCTATAATCTCAGGCTCAATGAGTGGTTCATCTCCTTGAATGTTAACAACCACATCATACTTCTTCTCCAGCTTTTCTAGTGCTTCATTACACCGTTCAGTGCCTACGCATCACCAAATGATATAGGAGCTTAGGCCGGACAAACCACATTCCAAAACAAAACAAACAAAACCAGTGGATAGAAGAAAACGGAGTACTGACCATTTCTGCAAGACTCTGAAGTCATGATGACATCGGCACCAAATCCACGACAACAATCCGCGATCCTTTCATCATCCGTGGCTACAACTGATCAAAAGTTGAAAATAACAATAAATCAGACATCTTGTGATCTCAACAATCAACAAGTTAGGGAAAAGATTCAGAACCAAGGCAACTTCATATAAGAGATTCTTAAATGCATAAAGTAAAAGAGAACAGGAGAGAGTAGAGGTTCTGAGCCAAATTACCAACGTGATCAAGCGTAGAAGCTAATTTAGACCTCTCCCAAGTTCTCTGTTCAAGAACGAATCGACAAAAGTGAGAAAGACTAAAACTGAAACAAGGTACATATCAAACAGTTGCAATTAACAAACATCAACATTACATAAATGAAGGCACAAAAATTGAAAACCACTTTGTGAAAAATGGAAACACTTTAGATCCAGATTGAGAGCTAACAAACAATAGGAAAGCAAAAAAAAAAAGAACTAAATTTCGAAACTTTAATAACGCTTAAACTACGCCAGATCCAACACAGATGAGCATAAGCACGATACTGAAATTTATACGTATATGATAGATGAAAAAAAAAACTAAGAAGGAACCTGGATCATGGGTTTGCCGAGGATTTGCACGAGAGGCTTACCCTCGAATCGAGAGGAAGCGTAACGTGCGGGAATGATTCCGACGACCCGGCTCCGGAATTTCCTGGATCGACCCAGATACGCACGTGCGCCAATCGCGGCTGCAATCGCCGTTCCGGCCAAGATCCCGTGTACAATCCACGTCTTCTGAGAAGACGAAGACGATGAAGAACAGGCTGCCATCTATTTAATCACCGACTGCACTTTGCTCCGGCGAGAGTGTGAGAGTGAGAAAGAGACAATTGCTCTGTTAAAAAGCGGTGACCGAGCCAGCGAGAAAAGAACCGGTCTGGACCGGTTTAATTAACTTAACCAATTTCTCCAAGGCTCAATTTGCGAAAGTACTTAATTATGGAACCTAATACAGTAAACAATTTTAGTGAACAAAACAATTATTGAAACATTTTGATGAATGATTCAGGAAAAGTGAGACAGATTTGTCAAAAGAATTTATAGAATTATTAGTTGTAGTTTTTGCAAATAATGGACCAGATTGAAGTCAATTAGTGCTATTAGTTTTTTTTATCTATGTCGGATAATTTTTAGAGCTAAATAAATGAATACACATTAATCAGAAAAACATAAGATATGAATTTGAAACCAAATCCTAAACTTAGAAGTCCACACAAATCCCCTTTGACTTATCCTTAACAACTAAAACCGAGGTTTCGTGACTAAATATAAAGCTGTTTTAATCTTTACGTTGTCACCTGAAAAGTCATCATTTCAAACAAAAACCGAAATTCTTGCAACAAAAAGGAAAAAAATGATGAGCTCATCAGAAGAAGATGTGTTTAGTTTCATCACCGTGCTTAGCCTCGCCGTATTCATTGGTCTCTGCATCTTGCTCGTTGTTCTTATAGCAACCTCAGCGATCATCCTTGTGATCTACGTCATCATCGATTGCATTCTCCGACCGTTCTTAGGAACATGTCTCGACCTAGATCTCGAAATAGGAGTCCAAAGAGGCCAACAACGTGCTAGAATCGTTAGTTACCATGCAATCATCCCGACCGATCTTCAATTACCAAATTCCGAGAGAGAAGAAAAACGAAAACGAGGGTTGAGACAAAGCGCTATTGAAACCCTACTCCCGAAGTTACTTGTTGGACAAGGAAACAACCACGAGGACGAAGAGAGGTCTAGAGAATGCGCGATTTGCCTCAGTGGTTATGTGGTTAACGAGGAATGCAGAGTATTTCGGGTTTGCAGACATATGTATCACGCGCTTTGCATTGATGCTTGGCTTAAAAATCATCTCACATGTCCTACTTGCCGTAAAGATTTGCCGGATTCATGACAATTGACAAAGCCCTTGCATGCTTGTCGTTAGCTGTACATAGATATTTGTCTCTTCTTTAAGAGCTCTCTAAATCCAAACCCATTTGCTTTACATATTACATATGGCTAGTTTAGTCAGAATATATAGAGCATAAATGTCCTGAAAATACAGAGGAACTGTTTGATTTTGCAGTAATCCTATGGTTTAATACTTGTATATTTCTCGCTACCGGTACTGTTCCATCTGAGTTTCGGTTCGGCTTTGGTTACTTGTAGTGCCATATCGATTCGGATTCACTCAGTTTCGTGATTTTTGGTGTAAAACTGAATAAAAAATGGTTATTACTGTCAATTTGGTTTACAATTTTGGTTTTCTGTTTGAGTTTTGGTTTTGTTTTCATTCTAAGAATACCGGTTTAAAGAACCGGGAAAGCTTCCGAGAAAACCGGGAATTTATAAGAGATTTTTTAAGTTCTTGTGGAAAAATTTCGCAGCCGATAATCGATTTGATTTGAAATCTCTCTTAGATTTGTTAATCACAGAACTGATGAAACCCAAAACTAAAACCTCAATAATATTAATCCATTTGTCCATATAGTAAAGATAAAAAAATCAGACTTCCTACTCTGTGTCAGATTACTCTACTCACCAAATCTTCTTTCTCGAGTCTTCTTCAACTTTTGATGATTGTTGCGCGACTGAATCCTACTGAAAAACGCAGCGCCCGATATTTGCGAGAAATTCTTTGATGCTACCACCAAATACCCAACAAAAAAACAAGAATTATCATAATAATAATTCCATCAAAAAACCTGTTAACACCCAAAAAAAAAAAAAAAAAAATCTAAAAGTACGAGATACAAATGTAGATAGACGACAAAAAAATATACAAATGCTGCTAAATTTTATCAACTCTAAAAATGTGTACATATGAGAATTATTACTCAGTTTCTCACAATTAATACATTAGAAAATATTTTGTTATCATAACTAGTATAAGAAATTTGGGAAAAAACAAAAATAAAAGGACTTTTTATTCCCTATAATTCGAGATGATTAAAAACATGAAACAATGGTGGATTTGGCTCACCTCGATGATCTAGTTCTCTTACGGGTTGCGTTAAGGACATTGCCCTCAGGCGGTGGTTTCGGTTTATCTTCAAGCTCTTTGACTCCTAATTTAACGAATTCCTCCACCACTGTCTTCATAAAGCTAGCAACATCGGTCCTAAACTTACTGGAGCCGCCCTGGCTAGTTTCTTCCACGTCTTGGACACCTCCTTTGACCATCGATCCAAGAGGAGCTCCGTCTTTATAAGCCTTGCAGGCTTTCACTATGTCGTGAGCCCGCACAAAGTAATGGCTACGAACAAACTCTTCAAAATGCTGCACATTCATCACATCAACGGTTTTTAAACAAATGAAGATATAGCTATTAACAGTCTTCAGAGTGCTGAAGTCAGCTCAAGCTTTTAGGCAAAAAGATTTCAGCTTTTAGGCAAAAAGATTTTTCAAGAATCGGATGAGAATTTGAACTAAGTATTTACCATGGGTGGTCTTCTCATGCTGTACACCATCGTCCTTAGAGAATATATGAATACGTTCTCACTGTAAACTTTAGAATGAGCCTCGCCTGCGGGAGTCCCCTTGGACCGCTCGTAGCCAGGTTCGTTAAAGTATGGCTTTTGATTCAAGATGAGTGCTTGGATTGAGACAAGAAGCTGCAACATTGTCGACTCCTTTGGGATCCATTTCTCCCTAGTGTTACCGGACCAGGTACCGAGAAGACTCAAGCATACTTTACCACAAGCGTATAGATTCGGATTGATCCTAAGCCCACCCGAATGGTAGTAAACTTTCTGTCAGAAACAAATTTGAATTTTCCACAGTCATTAAGGGTTCGAAGAAAAAGAAGACAGAGATATTGAGAAAGTTCCTGAGGGCATACTGGTGGCACTGAAGGGTAGGTATCAGGGAACTGGATATCGAAAAAGAAAAGACCGTCATGGTAAGGAGTTCCCTCTGCTCCAATAATCACAGCTCTCAAAAGATCCATTCTTGACTCACAGGCTCTGACAAATATCGTCTCTGTTTTGCACACACAAAAAAAGAAAAGAGTGAACGTTAATAACAAATATGGAGAAACAAAATGTTGCAAGCATTGATCTGCATTAGTATAATATACACCAACCTGGCAAATCATTCTCAAGAATCTTCCAATCTGCTTGAACTTTCTTCACCCAATTCTTAGAGTGCTGATAAAAGATAAAAGAGAGGCAGCTAAACGTTACAGTGTGTTGAACATCAAAGAACGATTAAGAAGATGATAAATTTATCCGTCACCTGCTTTGAAGCTTTCCCTTTGGAAGCATAGTGATGATCCGAGAACTCCTCAACAGTGTCAAATCTTTTAAAGTCTCGCAAAAAATTATCCTGAGCTGAAGAAACGACCTTAGCCGCTACTACAGGGCGAGAAGAGCTAGCAGAAGCATCATATTTAAAAGGTCTTGAAGGAGGAGATGGCATCATCACTATATCAGGAGTCTGAGGCTGAATCATCGTTGAAGAGGAATAGATAGTTTCATCGTTCTGAGGGTAAGCATAACCCGAGAAGAAATCCCATGACTGAGGACCAGAAGACGTTGCCAGAGATTGGTTCAAAGTTGCATTCGCCGAACGACTTCTAAAACTGCTTCTACTTGATTTAGCGGTTCCTTTGCTGCTCGAATTTGCACCCCAAGGTTGTGTAGTCATCACCACTTCTACATCAGAAGGGATGTCCTGAGAATTCAAAACGGCTTGAAGCATTGCCAAGTCATCAATCTCCATCTCATCATTAACCAAATTACTAAATTGGTTATGATCACTAAAAGAGCTAACTTGTACAGCCTTCCCTTTGTTCTTCTTATCGGCAGCATTGTTGCGGAACTCGTATTGTTCCACATCAATCACTTCGGGAATCACAGACTACAATAAAGATCAAAGCAGCAAACTTTACAATAAACAACGATGGATAAACAAAATGAAACAGAGAAACGAGTGAAATTCCCCAAACATACATTGACACAGAAAGAAACAAATTCAGAATCAATATGAAAGCTTTTGATTTCACATAACCTAAAACTAATCAATCTATTTCATCTCAGAAACCTACAAGAACACAACAATCAATACGACGAATATGAATCGTCAGGAAACGGATAAAAGAAAAAACCATCAATCCAAAGACGAAGAGAAACAGTAGAGTGGAATAGTAAACGTGAGCAGACAAAACAATTCAAGATTAAACCCTAAATCAAAACAAAACCCTAAAACACCGAAACACCCCATGATGATCACCACGCATCAACGATGCCCTAAAGAGACAAAAGTTCACCTTTTTTTCCAGGTAAAGCGGTAAAATTAGGCACAGTTAAACAGATTTAGCTTCCATAGACCCCGTAATCGGAAATTAACTGCAACAAAAGAACGAAAAATCGAACCTTTCTGGGTTTTCGAGTTCTCGAACCCGAAGCGATCGGAGGAGGAGCGATCTCCACCACGTCGGGCTCCATTGACGAATTTCCCGAAGATAGATTCTTTCTGTTTTTCAGAACTGAAACAAAATTTTCCTCGGGATTATAGGATATATTAATTAATAACTTTGGGGCTCTTCACATTCGCGCCGTAGTATATATACACCCAAAGAGTGAAGATTTTCTCAATCGCTTCGAACACTTTTTTTAAAACAAACGAGTCCAATTCCTACTTTTAAATCTTTAGTTACTTTTTAATTATGAATTTCCATTTTTGGGTTTATGTTTAACTTTTCAAGTCAATCAAGACTAAAAAGATGGACCCCACTGAAATCGAACAATTATTAACATTGCTGACGTGGTAAAATAGACGGTGAAGATGGCATTAAAGAAGTTGAGGTCAAGAATTTGACAGTCGTTGGATATATGAGGACCGTAATCAAACGGTTGGGAACTTACGGATTTTTTTTCTTTCTTTAATCTCCGATATTAACTAAGCTAATTCATAGCAAATCAAAGGGAAGAGAAGATAAACTTGAACAAGATTACACAAAGATTACACCAAACAAAGTAACAAACTGAAAAACAATTAATTTATTTCTTCTAAATAAAATTAGGAAAATAAAAATAAGGAAGTTGGACTATTTAGCCAGATTTGTTTTTAAAAGAGTCAAAAAAAATTAAGGAAGTTGGACTAGAAAAAAAAAAAGAGTCAAAGAAAAATAAGGAAGTTGGATATATAAAAAATCACTGATAAATGATTTTAGTATATAGAGTTTTTGTCAATTATAACCTTTTTGGTTTGCTCTGTTTTTACATGACGGTTGTTGACAACAGTGTTGTGTTGTGTAAATTTCAAAAAACATGAAAAAAATCAACAATCTATGTCACTAATCACTTCATTTGGATTTTTACTCCATGAAATTCGTATTTTAACATTCTCAAACTTTAAAACCCTCGGATCGAAGACAGATAAGATGAGCTTCGATCCATTTAGTGCAAGCTGATTCACCGTGTTCTACAATGCACTCATCTCTTAGCTTCTTAATATCAGGGCAAGCACAGCATATCTTCTTCTTTGGTTTTGTCTCAGTCACAGCCACATCTTTGCTTGGCTGGTTCAAGGAACACGCACTGCCTTGTGATTGTGAACCACTCATCCTATCATCATATTCTCAGATTGTTATCGAAACCACATACTGAGGGCAATGAAAAAAATTAGAAACAAGATAGCAAAAATGGTATAAAGTTCACATTTTTTATGCTTTTAAGGGATCATTTCGTAAACCGAATGTAAACATGAAATGAAACACTAAACCATTTGAATGCTCTTCTAAGATAAATCGAGATATGGGCATTTTAGTAGCTAGGCCAAAGAGTGATAGTCCTTGAACATATTCTTCTAAACCTCACACAATCTTGATCAAACACAGATAGATGAATCAATTTGAATATCCTTCCAAGATTAATGTATATACGTTACGTAGGCATAATGCCAAAGAGAGAGACTAAATCCTCGAAGATAACCTTCTAAATACCAAGGCAAGATCAAATATTCAAAATTTACAAGCTTGAAAAGGGTTAATAACAAACGAGATTGAGCTTTAATAATGTATGATAATATGATACAGTACATAGATAACTCGGAAGCTCTAATCCAACAACGGCTGTAAATATTTTCGGATGAATTCATAATTTGAGAATCTAAAAAGTGTATATACGCCATTGATTAATTCTCCAAAACCACCGAAAAATCGATATCAGGCAAAACCCTACAAAACAGTACTCGGAACTCAAAACCCAAAACGCCAAATCACAAAATCCCATCGCCCAAAATCAATACCAATTCAGATACCAATTTTAAAACATTCGAACCCGATCAAGGGACCAAACAACCAAAGAAAGAATCAACACAATCCTGGGGACATTGTTATAAGTTTCAATCAAATGATCCTAAGATCCGAAAATTTTGAGAGCGAAACTAATGAACTTCAGAGATTAACGAAAGAACTGACCCTTTGATCGGCTTGAAGGAGGAAGATTCAAGAAACGGAGAACTAGTGAGAATCTTGTGAAACAGAAAACGCTAGAAATGGAAGAAAGGAGAACCTTCAAAATTCGATTATTTACATTAAATGGGCCGTTATGGGCTACATTAAGCCCATTTTTCTACAAAATATTACTAAGAAGTTTTTTTTGTATATAATTTTTCACAATGAGTTTGGAAAGATAGAGGATCTACATAAGCAAAATTAAAGAAGGTTACATCAAAAAAAAGGCTTTCGTTTTAAATCCTTGATGTTTTGAATCTGTGAGTCCAAACAATTAATTGTTTGATCTGATCTGATCTGATCTGGTCTGGTCTGAATTATGATAGATGATTTCAGTTTGCTCTTTACCAAATCTGAAGATGAAATCTTTTTGCTTAGCCCACAAGTTAAAAGAAAAAATTATCAAAGACATCATCATTTAATCATACTTCTCTCTCCACGAATAAACAAGAAAGAAAACCCAAGATATCCCCAAAGCTATGTCTCCAAGAGCTTGTTTAGGCCATTCATAAGCAAGATCTTCAATTTTCCACTCGAACAAAACTCTCCACGAAGCCATTAACACATAGAGAACCACAGAACCTCCAGCGAAGAAGCTATGAAACTCTCTGTCTTTAACGAAAGACACCATAAACAGTACCAAGCCAATCGCAAAGAGAAGCAAACCAGAGAATGACTGAGAAATCTGTATGAGTAGCTCATCGTGTGGCGTTGATCCTTTTATTTTGCTCGCAATCTCTCTTCCGTGTCCAAAGATCGAAGCTTTCTCAGTGTAGAACATCATTAGGGTTCCACTAGTTAGAGCGATTATCGAATGGAGTATACAGATTACACGAAAGAGAGATGGATTCATCGAAGTTGCTGTAGTCATGATGAAGAAGATGATTTAAAAAAAAAAAAAGAGAAAGACTTTATTTTTCTTGCTGGGTTTTTCAAATTGATCGAAAAATCTATTTAGCTTTCACACACAAAAAGTTAAAGACCCAGATGAAAAGAGAAGATTTTTAAGAGAAAAAGTGAAGTTTTTTTCGTTCACGGGTTTATTGGGGAAGTATCCAGATTGGGGATTTTGCTTGTTTGGGAAAACAATGAAGAAGCCATGGAGGAAAGGTATGGAGTTGGCTTTTGCGAAGAGAGATGATCTGATTTAGGGATTTGGACTTTGATAGATTCCATGGTTTTGATTTCTTTAATATATATCATAAACTCTCAAGATTTTTGGTTGATGTGGGTCACTCTTTGGCCAATTTCATTTTTCTTCTAAGAAAGTTATAGACAATTTCTAATCCACGTCCTAACTAATTATTAATTATGACTAGATTTATATCAGAAATTACATATTGTTCATCAGAGAAAAAGATTGGATTGCAATTTTATATTGTTTTGTTTTCTGAGATTAGAGGTTGAGAAATAATTGAAAAATTCCAGGCAAAAAACAAAAGAAGAATAATTGAAAGTAATAAATCTCTGTGGGGTCGAAGAGCGAATAGGCATGGACTCGGTTTGTGGAGCTATTTGATCTAATAAATACTCAATTGTAAAATACTCCATAAGATAATTGGTTTATAATGTGGATTTGGACTTTTGTAATATCTTCCCTTTTTATCCGAAGATATTTTTGTGCGATAAGAAAATCAAAGAAAAAAACCATTGTTTTCCTCGTCGACATATACACTGCACAAAATATCTAACTGAATCCTTTATTTTTTGTTCCCTCTTTTACTAATCTGAATTTTAGCTATTTGGCTTTGTTCAAAAAAACACCTGGTTATTGAAAATCAAAAATATCCCAACGTAATTTTTAGACATAGTTAATGATAATTTAATTATTTAAAGTAAAGCAGGTAACGTATGATTTAAATTACCAGTTACTCAAGGAAAAAAAAAAAGAATATCAGTTACAGAATTATAGTAGTAGTTGATTAATGGTTTAATGCCAAGTGGAGAAGAGGCTCTACTATAATGGCCCTACTTCGCGTTACTATCCATAGCCGACAAAACAAGTATCGACCGGTTTAATTTTATACCAGTTTAAATCTCGGTTCAATGGTTCCAACTTTCTACCATTAACGATGCAGAACTGGGATCCATCAGAGGAACATTTTTTTTTTGTCGTCCTTTTTATTAGTCACATAAAATGGGTTCGTTCAATTAACATAAATAAACAATAGAACAAATGGTAAAAAAAAAAGAAAAACATATATATAGATTGGCCAAAGATACATCAGTTAATTTCGTTAAGACGGCAAAATTTCAAAACAAACTTTTGGATCACGAGATTGGTCTCTTCTAACTACTTCCACTGTAATAATAAAAATAGGAAAAGAAAGAAAAAAATTGAATCAAAAATAAAATCTTAAAGAAAGAAAAGTGGAGAAATCTCTATCTCATGTTTCTGCCACCGGCTGAAACTTTCCGGTGACGCCTTCTTCCACGTTGTCCCGGAATCTTCTTCCCCGTGGTGGCTCTTCCACTGATTAATTTTCCACGTGGCAAAGGCAGTGGCTCGGGAAGAACCCTAGAAGAAGCTCGAGGAGGTTTCATGTTCATCAAAATGTCTCTATGATAAACCTATCATCAAGCCAAAAAAAAAAAGTCTCATTTTTTTCACAAATCAAACCAACTCTTAAACCGAAATTAACTGTAATTTCTTGAGCGTTTACCTGTTTCACAAAGTTGCGTCTTTCACAGTCCAAGAACATATTGATGCTCCAATCTACTTTCTCTCTTATCTTGTCTCTTGCAATTGCAAAGCTTAGTTGATCTCTGGAAGTAAACCGGTCCACTTCGTTGAACCAAACACACGTAAAAAGGTTCGTGATTGGTATGTGTTCTCTTATGATTGTACAGCCTTCAGGAACATCTGCCAAAACGATTCAAAAAAACACTCAACTTGAGCCCAAAAGACGGGTAAATTTAGGCTTTGGATCATCTTCTTTTTGCTTTAAAACCATTATTACCACTTGTTATTGGAAGCTTAGCCTCGGTATAAGGTGTTAAACCTTCCTTCTTGTAGAACTCTATTTGGTAATCAATAGAGGCATTGTCGTATTTTCTTGCGGCTTTATTCGCCTCAGCCTCTTCATACACATCAAAACGTCGGTAATGTCTTGAGATTGCAAAACTAGAATTCGTTCTCCACAAGAACCTGAACATTGAGAAGACAAATAAAGCTAAACTGCTTTGGCCTGAACAAATAATTTCAAAAGAGAGAGAGAGAGAGAAGTCGTTCTATTTACCTTTCAAGTATTTGATACGGATCTACAACAAGCTGGAGCTTAGCATCAACCCATACAGAGTATCGGACATTTAGGAATAATCTATGCAACAGAAGCTTTGGAATCTGTAAAAATGCATAAACGTTTTACTCAATTCGTATTTGCTACATAAGGAAATATTCAAATCTTGTCTATTTATTCATTTATCTTTTAACCTTTCCATTACGCCTTGCATCAGTGTAAGGGACATTATGCACAACAATGATCCTCCACAATCCCACTCTCTTGTTATCGTCTGTGTAACTCGAAGTGTTCTTAAGATATAAATGCGTTTCTTCGTCAACAAACATGTAGAAAGGGATGTTCTTCCTCGCCATTTCACTGATATTCACCGGTTCTTGAATTATGTCATACTTACCTGAACAAACAAAAAGGATTGAAATTTTTGTGAGAATATGTAAACAATATAATATGCCACACTGAAATTTTCTTTTCAACGAAAAATACCAAATATAGCTGAAGCAACAATCACATCATGGAACTGGTCCAATTCAGGAAGGATATCCTCATCGATGTCAAATCCAGTATGATGGCCAGGTTTTGTTCCTTTGACAAATCTGCCGAAACAAAGAACAGGAATCAGAAAAGTAAAGCTCGATGGCTAGAAAAGAAACCACAAGAGTTAAGCCTAGAAGCTTACCCACAATGCACTGCCATGGACTCTTTTATGTCAAAAGAGTTAGTCCTATGCTCAAGAGAAGGATATCCTCCAAATTCAGAACCACCTTGACTTTCTTCACGTTTTACAGGACTCTCGTCATGGATATATGACAAATTCTTGAGAACAGGAGATTCAAATGGATGCTTTGGCATATGCGCTAAGGCCTCTTCTGGAGATAGATAGCATACCGGACACGCTGAACAGAACAAACATTACAAACGGTAAAAGATGAACGCAAGTTCCTAATAGGACCAGAGCAAAAACTAAAAACAACTAACAAATCAAAGAAAAAGCTTACGGCGTGGTCCAGGTCTTCTGAGTCCAGGTGGAGGAGGAGGAGGAAATGAAAAACCATCGCATGGATGGTGAGAAGGGAGGGATGGAGGAGGATGGATGATGTCTACATCACTTCCTCTAATGCCATTCCACATAAATGAATCTCTAATATGATCATTATTAGAGTTTCCAGTATGGAAAGAAGTCAATTCTCTACTTATTGGTGTTTGGTTGCTTCCGAAATCCATCGTCTCAATACTCTGATGAATGTTTGGACTATTGCTCTCTGTTGTATCAAGTAAAAACACCACAAAGCATGACTTACCAAACGGAACATCTAACTTTTTTCTCCAACAGATTCCGATAACTAATACTATTTCAAGAATTAAGACATCAAAAACTTGACTGAGATTACCTTTGTTGATAGTGTAGGAACCCAATACAAAGACAACAAATGCAAGGCTGAGAAGGAGCAGCATTGCGACTCGTCTGCGACCTAAGTACCAGCAACATAAGAAGGAGAGAGACCTTTCCTTCTCTTTAGAATTTGAAGTGAGCATTGTGGAGGAAGAAGAAGAAGAGGTAGAAGAAGATGCAGACTCAAAAGCTCAAGGCTTTGGTTAGTGCAATGAGCCATAACTCTCGGTAACGAAGTCCAAATGACATTCCAGTCATTGTCTCTTAAACCCTCTAGATCGAATTCTCATATCGAAAACCCAACAATGTCCCAGATCTCCACAAATTGCTGCCTGAGAAACATAAGCAAAACCAAGATTCGATTCCATATCAATTGCAGAAGAAGGTAATCGACTAACAAAAGCAGATAAAGCTTTAATCAGATTGTAAATTCAAAACCAAACAGCGACAAAGACCTGCATTTGCACCCAAAAGGAGAAAACTTTAAATCACATCTCGATTTTGATCGAAAGTTAATACTCAGGAGAAAGCACCCATCATTGGCGATCGTAAATTGAAAAGAGAACCCACAAATCGAATCTAGCCCTAATCCCAAAAAAGGGCTAATTTTTCCAAGAGATACCTACGGATTCAAAAGAAGAAACAAAAAAAGATATTACCTTTTCAATGAATACTATGTTCCAAATTCGCCTCTGAGATTTACAAAATCAATAAATAGTTCGGTGAATGCGTCGCCAAATTTCACTGATCCCTTCGATCTGTGGAAAACATTCAGTGCATATTTTGGATTTGTTAACGATTCAGTGTGTCTTTACGTTACTTTTAAGGGGTGAATAATTAAAAATTCTTCCGCCTATAAGAAAATATTTCTCTAATTTAGGTATTTTATTACAGTGCAGATGTGTTGTGTTGAGTCTTCAAAACACAACGGCCAACTCTAAATTTGATCATTTCTTTCCTAGCTTTACGTATTTGTTGATGAATAAAATAAGAATCGACAGGGGTTTCTTACATTATTCACACACTTAGAGAATACATAAAGATATTTAATTTGCACTTGACCATTATTGATTATGTTATATTCTTCTAAATGACACACAACTTTTATCTTGATTGAATCTGACAATAAACCCCTCAGCTATAGAATTAATGTAAAAACTTCTCAAATATCAGTTCGTTAGTATAATTTTTTCAGTCTACTGTAGCATTTAGACCTTAATGGTCAACGTGAAATCACAGTTATGTATTTTGGGTTGTAAAAAAACGATAGATGTTTTGCACAAAAAAAAAAAGTAATCCTAAAACCATAATCTTGTGAAATGGAAACTTTTCCTTTTGGAAAAACATTCAATTCAAAATGTTTTGCATACATTTGTCGATCAAAAAAGATGTCCAGTTAGCAACATCTCTTCAGAGGAACGAATGAATTATGTGTATGGCTATTGCCAATGCCGTGCTATTAGAAATTTGATTTAGCAAAAAAAAAATTTTAAACACCAAAACTATTATTATTCTATTGGTATTTAAGTAATAAATTTTTTAAACTTTTCAAAAATATTAAAAATATATCTTATAATTTGATCATAAATGCATCTTTTTATGATTAGCATTTATATATAATTCTAAACAAATAGTAATTCAATAAACTATTTTTTTTTAAGTTTACAATTTATCACCATTAAACAATAAAAATAGATAAAAAAACTTAAAAATCTATCTATTTGAAACATTTTTTTCTTAATTATCTATTTATTTGAAATAATGGGAATATAAAATATCTCTTACCAATTATTATTTAGGAAACAAAATCTTACATTCATTAAATTTTAAATGATATTTTAATAAATAGTGGGAATATAAAATATCTCTTACCAATTATAATTAATATTTTGGGGGCCCTATATTTATAAAAAAAATATAAATATAGATTTTGTTTGTAGATTTGGCTGAGTTTGTAGATTTTGTTTGTAAGATATTAGTCTAAAAACTCTTTAAAATGCGTTGGTAACTCAAAAAGACTAGAAAATGAGTTGTGTTTCGATGGCTGAACATAACTCTTTAAACCATGTTCTACGGCGTTTGTTTTACATCAATCATACTATTCTACCACTCCACAGACATTTATTTCATTTGCTCTATATTTGTTTCGTCTATTTTGCACCATTTATACCACTACAAAAATAAAGATAAACACATGATTACTGAGGTTTTGAGAGAGAAAAAAAAACACATAATTCAGTAGAGAATACAAACATGAATAATGAAGTCTAAAGATATAATAGTGTTACTGTGTTAGCACAACTGTATCGTTCATATAGTTGATGTATGATTATTTGTGGTATATACAGTATATAAATATAGCCGTTCTCTAAAAATAATACATGTGATCGTTTTAAAAAATTTATTTAAACGTTCTCTGAGAGATAGGGCCCAAATTTGTTGTATTGTCTAAAATGGAGAAGACAAGTCCATTAAATTCGGTTGTAAGAATAATGTGGATTATCGCTCTTCTCCAATTATTAGACAAACGAACAGATGCCGATGATGATTGATGAGGATAGTAATATGTTGTTAATTGTGTTTTCTTAATCTTTTAATACTTTTTCTTTAATCAAATATGCCCTTATACTCTTATTTGATATATTCAAAAACTGTTGGTGATAATTTGTAATGTCAGTAGTGAGAGCATTAATACAAATAATTGTATGAAATAATATATTTTTTAATTCTCGATTACGGTGTAAATAATTGTTGAACATTCATTTACAATTATTGTTTTTCTTTGAAATTAATAATAGCAAAATCAGATTATAAAACTATTTATGAAGTCAGGTACTAGATAGAAAGATAGAAATCAGTTGTTGACAAAATTTAATAGTTACCTTATTAAAATTAGAACGTACATATTTAAAATTGCTCTCAAATTCATTAGTGCAGGGATTATGGGAATAATTCAGAAATTGGAAGCGAAAACGAAAAGACTAACTCTTTCGTCCCAAGACGACTCGACTTTTACTTCCTTAACCCACAGAACTTTCAAAGACTCTCTAGTTACATGTACGTGGAGCATACGCGATTATAATTTTTGTAAGAATTCTCTCTAATTTTAATTTTTACATTAGTTTTTATGTATTTTACATAGACATCAATTTGTTTGATTTTGAAGTTAAAATTCAATCATCTTGAATCATACTATTATATATTGCTTTTAGAATATTTTGTTTATAATTTCAATTAATTTTTGAATTTTGAAATGTTGAAGATATAAAAATAAATATATTTTCTTGTTTTGAAAAAGTTTGACGATTAAAGTTAATGAAGCATTTTAAAATTAGAAAATATTAATCCGAATAAAATACAAAATATTTATGTATCAATATATGATGAGCTTAGATATAAGTAAAAGAGAACATGTTTTAAATGTATATATCTAATTAAAAGCAAAAAAAAACTGTGTTATTTTAGAGTATTTAGAATCCTTTTTTTTTCGTCAAATCTATTTCTAAAAAAAAAAGAGTAGTATATTATTATGTTTTTGAGTTTTTCTATCTAGATACTTGTGACCAAAGGGAAAAAGAGACAAACATATGAGAAGCATAATTTGATTAGTTATCCAATTCTAATTCTAATTAAGTAATTATTTAAGATTATAAGTGATTAAGAGCGCGTGTTTTTGACGGATCAAGAATGTCTTTTGCATGTCCAGCTTCGATTTAAAAAATAAGTTAGGGTATATATTTTTCTTAATTGTTTTAACTGTTTTAGTCAACATCCCTTTATTATTTTATATTTACCAATGTATTAATAATATGACATATTTACTGTTGCTCGGCATATTATATAAGTTTTTTTTAACTTTATTATACAAGTTATTAACTGCACCAACTACTGATAAATATAAGGTAAAGTTTTTCTTCCGAATGTACTCATTTATCTATTTATTTAAAACTTCTCCCTAAATTTTTTTTTTTTTGGAGTTTCCATTTTTTGCAAACTTTAATTCACCTTCTGCTTCAACACACATGCGTCTCTCAAAATCTCTCCGCCCTAGATCCATTTCTCTCATAAACAGGCACTGTTAAACCCTTCGATTTCTCCTCGTTTCTCCGGTTTTCTTTTTCACGGAAGGCTCCATTTTCCTCCCCTTGTTTCTAAGTTTTCCTGCAAATTACTCAATTTTACATTTGCTTCTGGTATTTCTCTCTCTCTCTCTCTCCACTCTCTTGAAAAGGTACTTGCTTTATGCAGATAAGCTCTTGGTTCTTGAGAATCCTGGGGTTTTTCTTCTCAACTCGAATTAATAATGCCTGAAATCTTCTTCTTGATCTGGGCACATTTTGCAAATTGAGGGAAAAAAATCATTTTTTTTCTGGGTCAGTGTTATCCTAGTTCTAGGGTTCCGTAATTTCGACTTTTGTTGTTGGTGGTCTGGTTCTTTCATGTGGTCCACTCCATTAGCTGCGAGAAGTGACGTTTGGTTGGGTTTTTGGAAGAATTGATGAATCTCAAAGGAGAATTTTGTTTCTAGTATTGGAAATTTCTGGGTCAAATTGAGAGATGGGTTGTGTTTGGTGTAAGCCCTCTGCTATCGAAGATAGCAAAGATAGTCCAAGAGAGAGATTCTCAAACAAATCCTCTTCTGAGTTTAGAGTATCAAGACCGGTTACTTCTTCTAGAAGAGAAGAGCCTATTAGGACAAAGGAACGGCCTGATGTTGTTAGTGTAAGACCAGTGTTGAGTGATAATAAGCAAGCTAATGTTTCGATGCATTTGCGTGGGGAGAATTTGAGTAGTAGAAGAGAGAAGAAGAAGATAGAGAATGTTGCAACTTCATACCTTCCAATGGGTATTACCATAGCAAAAGCAGCTGAAGGTGAGTATGTAGCTGCAGGTTGGCCTCCATGGTTGGCTTCTGTAGCTGGAGAAGCTATCAAAGGATGGGTTCCACGCCGTGCGGATTCTTTTGAGAAGTTGGACAAAGTAATTCTTCTTTTTCTCTATCTACATATGATCCCATGCTTACTTATATTGGCATGTTTCCATATTTAGAAACATATCCTAAGCTCTCATATTTGGGGTTGCAGTAAATGAATAGTTTTGATGTTATGAAACTAGATTTTCACCTGACTTGAAAAGGTTTTGGACTATATAGCGGTTAAGGAAAGATCTCTGATGCAGCGGTTTTTACTTGCTTTTTTGCAGATTGGTCAGGGTACTTACAGTAATGTATATAGAGCTCGGGACCTGGATCAGAAGAAAATTGTGGCTTTGAAGAAAGTTAGGTTTGATAATTTGGAGCCTGAAAGCGTGCGTTTTATGGCAAGAGAGATCCAGATATTGCGCCGGCTTGATCATCCTAATATCATAAAGCTAGAAGGCTTAGTTACATCAAGAATGTCTTGCAGCTTATATCTTGTTTTCGAGTACATGGAACATGATCTAGCAGGACTAGCCTCGCATCCCGCAATAAAATTTTCTGAATCACAGGTACTATTTGTTTCTTGTTATCATCTTCTTGACATAGTCATTGCTTTTAGTCATGGCCTTTCTTTTTTTTCATTGTTCTTTTACAGGTTAAATGCTACCTGCAGCAGCTGTTGCACGGACTAGACCATTGTCACAGTCGTGGTGTACTTCATCGGGACATAAAAGGCTCAAACCTTCTAATTGATAATAGCGGAGTTTTAAAGATTGCTGACTTTGGTTTAGCTAGTTTCTTCGATCCTCGTCAAACACAGCCTTTGACCAGCCGTGTGGTAACTCTTTGGTACCGGCCACCTGAACTTTTGCTTGGAGCAACTCGCTATGGAGCTGCAGTTGATTTGTGGAGCACTGGTTGTATTCTTGCTGAACTATATGCAGGCAAGCCTATTATGCCTGGTAGAACCGAGGTATAGTTTTCATATGCTCTGATTTCTGTGAGACTTAGTTTGATTTCTTTTGAGGTGACTTTGGTAATGCTTTTGGTGTTACAGGTGGAACAGCTGCACAAGATTTTCAAGCTATGTGGCTCGCCTTCCGAGGACTATTGGGTAAAATCAAGGTTGCCTCATGCAACAATCTTCAAGCCTACACAGCCATATAAACGCGTAGTGGATGAGACATTCAAGGAGTTTCCTCAGCCAGCTTTAGCTCTTCTTGAAACTCTTCTTTCAGTTAATCCTGACGATCGTGGAACTGCCAACTCAGCTCTCCAGAGTGAGGTAAGTGTATTCCAATGCTCTGAGTTATTATTATGCTTATACCTGACTCCTGGTCAATGCATTGGTAACCTCAAATTACATTCTTTTATTTTCAGTTCTTTTCCACTAGACCTCTTCCATGTGATCCTTTAAGCTTGCCTAAATATCCTCCCAGCAAAGAGCTTGATGCAAGGATGCGGGATGAAGAAAGTAGAAGGTCTGACATCGTTTTACTCTGCAAGCTATTATCCTAGATTACTAGTAGGGCTCTCTAAAAAAGCTTGATTCTTTCTTGCTCTATGTGTGTGTGTAGACAAGTTGGAGGAAACAGGGACCACCAAAGACACCAAGAAAGGAGAGGAACTAAGGAATCTCGAGCCATCCCAGCACCTGATGCAAATGCAGAGCTGGTTTCATCAATGCAGGTAATAAGCATATTATTTCTTTCGATGTAAAAGCTTTTGCTTTATATTCAATGTTTTTTACCATGTTCTTGCATTAACAGAAAAGGCAGAGCCAGTCTACTAATAGAAGCCGAAGCGAGAAGTTTAATCCACATCCTGAAGAAGTTGCATCTGGTTTCCCAATCGATCCACCAAGGCCATCATCGCAAGCATTTGAACCAAACAGAGAATCTCAGGGCAACATTATTATTCCTCACAAGAGAGCTTCACATTCCGGACCTCTATCGCGTAGATCTGCTTCCGCAAAGGGTAGAAGGCATTACCAACAAGATCCTCAGAAAGTTTCATCTGTAGCTGCTGATTACTCGGCAATGCCTGGTTTTGCTGCAACAAGAACAGGCGCATCGCAACAAGAGACTTGCAGAGGAATGACTCGGCTTCCAGGTTCCTTCAAAGAAACCTCTGATGAAACAAACCAAGAAGAGAATGGTAGAAGCAACAAGAAAGACCCAATTCTTGTAAGTGCTCTAAACGTCCTACTCAGCTATTTTGAGAAACAACTATTGTCTATTATTGAGAAACCACTTTTCTTGTTTTGTGGTTGCAGTTGGGTTACGGATCAAAAGGGCACAAGATTCATTATTCAGGACCGTTGGTGGTTCCATCAGGAAACATGGATCAGGTGTTAAAAGACCATGACCGCCATATCCAAGAAGCTGTGAGAAGAGCGCGAATCGATAAGGCTCGAGTTAGGAAACTTCATGCTGAGGAAGCATCGAGCCAACAATTCCCAACCAATCATCCCTCATCTGTTTCTAGTCGTTGATCCATCAAAAGAGGCAAAAGTATATTATCAAACCCAAACCTCATTTGCCTGAAACTTTTTAACACGGCGTATTTTGAGTGAAAAAAATAATGTATTTTATTGATTCAAGATTATATATCATAGAATCAAATCTTGTCACGTCGTAGTTCCTGATTTGGTTTCCTGTAATGTCATAATACTTTATTAAAAGAGAGATGTAGAAACAGGTTATATATCTTATAATCTAGAGCAACATTTCATTTAAAAATCACATATTTGTTGCAATTCACAAACTAATCGTCTTACCAAGATAATGTTTCCATACTAACCCATATTTTGAAATGAAACTTGTATTAAAAAACGTGGAAACTAGCATTACTAGTTCCTCACTCTGTCTTCCATATACGCTCTTTAGTTTTCTTTGTTATTCACTATCAGATTAGTGTTTTCTTCAATAGTCTCTTATCTCTCTTCTACACTTTTAAACTGTATGAGCCAAAAAGGTCATAACATTTATATCCGTTACCTCACACTTACAATTTGAATGAACATTTAACAAACAGAAAAATGGTATAAATCATCCATAAAAGACTTGTAAGTAATGTATTTAATAATTTTTAGTATTGTATTTGTTAAGACATGATCGTTTATTCTCCCACATCGGGCTTATTCATTTCTTTAAGTTTGAGCTCACTTATGAGATTCGGAAAAAAGAATAGTAAAGCTGATGATTTTCTAGTAAGTAATGTTCGATATAACATTATGTGTTTACATTTGTAAGCACTTATGTTAATTATGTAGCAGATTGGGTTAGATGCAGATGTTAAGATGTATGTGATAATTTTTATTGATTAATACATATAAGTGTTTGTTGGCAAAAATAAAATAATGTATGTAAAACACATGTTACAAAATCTTTGAAAGTGATGATTTTGTATCGTTAAATTATCTCTTCTAAATCTTTGTTGGTGCATGTGAAGAATCGACTTCGATTATAAAAGATTCCATTTTTGATCTTTAATAGTCACATGGGGTGTATCTTGTTGGGTTTAAGCTGATTTTGATTCTGTATCTTAATAATTTTTTATATTTAATAGTCACATTGAGTGGAACGTACCAAATCACTCTAAACTAATCACATTTTTACAACAACCAATAAGAAACGTTGTCTGCATTTCAAAAACAGATTTTGTCACTTATTAATGCCATAATAATTCAGATTCCTTGTCCTTTTGTAACTGTATCCATTATTGTTGATTATTTTTCTTGGAAAAAAATCTAAACTTTTCTTGATCTTTTCACCTTCACATCTTTAAAGCTCATCATCATCTTCACTTCCCAGTTTCACATCAAACCCAACAAAATGCAGATGCAAATACTCTGTTTAAGTATCACTCTGTTCATAGCTATCTTCGTCTCTCAGGCCACTGATGCTTACAGATTCAAATTCAATCACTTCGGTAATGGTTCCGATCTATTCACTTTCCACGGAGACGCAGAGTATGGTCCAGACACCGATGGCATGAGCCGGTCCGGTTCTCTCGCATTAACCCGAGACAAAACCCCTTTCTCTCATGGCCGTGCCATTTTCGTAAATCCAATCACTTTCAAACCCAATTCTTCATCTCTCTACCCTTTTAAAACCTCTTTCACTTTCTCAATCACTCCTCACCAAACAAACCCTAACCCTGGTCACGGCCTCGCCTTCGTCGTCGTCCCCAACAACCAAAAAAACGACGCCGTTTCCGGTTCAGGCTACCTCAGTCTCGTGAACCGAACCAGCAACGGTAACCCAAGTAACCACCTCTTCGCCGTTGAGTTCGATGTGTTTCAGGACAAATCTCTTGGCGACATCAACGATAACCATGTCGGGATCGACATCAATTCCGTCGATTCGGTGGTTTCTGTGAAATCCGGTTATTGGGTTATGACGAGAAACGGATGGTTGTTCAAGGAATTGAAGTTGAGCAGTGGAGACAAGTACAAGGCTTGGATCGAGTACAACAACAATTACAGAGTCATCTCCGTTACGATCGGGTTTGCGCATCTGAAGAAACCGAATCGGCCATTGATCGAAGCTAAATTCGATCTCTCCAAGGTTCTTCTCGAGAAAATGTATACCGGTTTCGCCGGTTCTATGGGTCGTGGCGTCGAGCGTCACGAGATATGGGACTGGACTTTCCAGAACTAAAAACCGGTTTTGTTTGGTTCTCGATCGGTTTAGATCGGTTTTCGTTTGTTTGTGTCTGGTTTTAGTACTTTCAGCTAGTAGTTTGACGATGTTTTGTATCATTGTTGTGTCAAATTTCTAGATGCGAATAAATGCCCAAGTGATGACTTATTGACACACTGTTGTATCATTGTTTGTTTGTCATGTTTCTAGAAACTTTTACAAGGACGCTTAATTCCTGATTTAGTATTTTTCCTAGGCTTCAATTTATGCGTTTCTTTTTGTGCAAACCTTACCTTTACTTTTCATCCAATTAAATTTGGGAGTTACAAGAATAAGGAAGAGTTATTAAAACTCACAGATTGGTTGCATAATCCATAAATGAGTGCGAAGTAGATTATAACATATGGTCAGTCAGTAACCAAGTTGAAAGTTAAGTAAGTCCAAACTTCCTTTTATAGTTTTTTTATCTCTCTCGACGGATCTAGGGATAATATTGTTTGAGTGATTACATCTTACGATGTTAACGTTTTATTTATACTTTTAGTCTTTAAGCATCCAATCACTTGACCCCCAAAAAAAAAACATCCAATCAATGACAAATGAGAATACCGAGAGGTTCCAATGTTCATGTCCTAAGAAGGATCAAATTGACGAAACGTGAATTTTTTTTAAAACGAAAAACTCAGTGAAAAGTAGATGAAGCTTCTTGTTATTGTGTTTAGTGCGTCAGTGTTTTGTCAACATATAATTTTGTAATTGTTATATATAATAAAAACTGTTATAGAAGTTCAACTCTAGTTTGACGGTTTGACCTTGAAGTCAAAGCTGATGGATCTTGCCACCCTACATATACACCATCACTTCAATTACCATAATACCAAAAACAAAACAAACACATTAAACAAACAAACAGACTTATAATGCAGATCCAAAAACTCTGTTTTAATTTATTGCTTTGCTCATAGCTTTCTTCAGCTACGGAACCATTTCCGCCGTCACATTCAACTTCAACCATTTCGACGGAACAAATCTAATCTTCATTGGTTACGCCGAGCTTGGACCGGCAACCGATGGCATGAGCCGGTCTGGAGCTCTTTCACCCGTGACAACATTCCATTCTCACATGGTCAAGGCCTTTACACATATCCCATTCCATTCAAATCCTCCAACAACACTTCTTCTTCTTCTGTTTATTCTTACAAAACATCTTTCACTTTCTCCATCACTCCTAACCGGTCAAGCCCTAACCCCGGTCATGGCCTCGCCTTCATCGTGGTCCCAACCATAAACTATGATAAAGAATCTAGGTCTAGTTAACCGAACAACCAATGGGAGTCCCAATAACCATCTCTTTGCTGTCGAATTTGATGTTTTCCAAGATAAACGTTTTGGCGACATAAATGATAATCATGTTGGTATTGATATTAACTCTGTCCATTCGATGGTTTCTAAGAGAGCTGGTTATTGGGTTCAGACAAGAACAGGAGGAAGGAATCAATGGTTGTTTAAGTAAATGAAGCTTAGTAGTGGAGATAACTACAAGGCTTGGATTGAGTATAAGAACAATAAGGTTACTATTACGCTTGCACCTGCGCATCTGAAGAAACCGAAGAGGCCATTGATTGAAACACAAGTCGATCTCTCTAAGGTGTTTCTTGAGACAATGTATACCGGTTTTCCTGGTTCGATGGGTCGTGGTATTGAGCGTCACGACATCTGGAGCTGGAGTTTCGAGAACACTGCAAAAAACAGCTAATCCAGTTTTATTCTGTTTTATCTTGGTTTTGATTCGTTTTTTTTTGTAATTTTTTTATATCTTGTTTAATAATTTTTCTAGATTATTTAGAATCTATTAAAATGTGGTTATAAGTGTTATCTTCAAGGGTTATCTTCAAAAGTCAATTTGAAAGTTTAACTTTATATCGACTTAATTCAAATTTAGTAATTTTTCTCATAAGAACAATATTAAAAAATATGACCGGCTCAATTTGGTGAACCGGTTCGACCTATTGAAGCATAAAATTAAGTGGCTAGTGACCGTAAAAAATGGCATAGTTTTGAGCCGTCAACTTACGATGATTTTGAGATTCAAATTTGGTGGATCATGTCACCTCATAGTTTGTTTATAATAATATATATACATCCACACATTTACCATTAGCTCATTAAAAAACAGAAAAACTGATTTTTGGCTACGTTCACTGTATTGCTAGCCTCGCGTACCATTTCCGCCATCAAATTCAACTTTAATCCCTTTCAAGCCTAATTCCACTTGTTCTATTTACCATTTCAAAACCTCTTTCACTTTCTCCATATCATCTAGCTGTAAAACAAAACCCTAATTCCGACCATGACTTTGTCTTTGTCGTCTTTCCTTCTCATGCTACGAAAATTTTGCCGCCGATAAAAGCTTCCTCGGCATTCTACACAAAACCAACAATATCAACGTATAATATACGCATTAATAGGTTCAATATACTTTAGTCATTGGTTATATGTTGGTTGATCATAGTTTACTAATTTCCGATTGACTTCCAGTTTTGTTGCGGTCCAGATTGTTTGTTTGCGTTTTTCATTTATATTTACATTTAGTATTTTTTTTCTTTGAAATGAATCAACAAATTTAAAAAGCATTTTGCTTTCATTTGAGTTTACACTTTACCACAAAGATATATGATGTTTTTATTTATTTTTAAAATGTGACTATATTCTAGAAAATGCCACCTTAGTAAAATCTTTCAAACTAGAATTTATTACTGTTAATACTATAATGTATAGTAAATATATTTCTGTTTTTAAAGATAAATAGAAATGGAGTGCTCCGCTAGTAATCATACAATTAGAAGCACACGTGGCGTGTCCCGAAGCATGTGGTTTTGTTTTTCTCTTCTGCCATTGTCGACTTGTCTCAATCAATTCCATGAAAATGGAAACTCCTTCCGATCATTAAATGCTCACACCAATACATTCTCTTCCATTCACCAAAACAATAATACAAACAATTTTCTTTTCTTTTTTTTTGTTGTTCAAGATTTTCGAAGTGCAATTTTTTTTTTTTTTGCTTTTTGTTAGGTCTTGAACAATGTTTTATTGTTCTTTTGAGATCATTTAGAACTGATTCACGTTAACAAGAATCAAAGCAATCAACATAAAGATCCTCACAAGGAAATCTATGGAATCATGTATAATATCTTTCAATTTTTTCTTATATATTTTCGATAATTTCTTCACATATGTTTCGTGAAAACTGAAAAGCCAATATCACCACAGACTGAATTTTGAAAGCTGCGCTTCACTAAATATCTGTGATCACTGGCTATCGAAGGAACCGATTCATTCAATATGATTTAGTTTCCTTCTTTTTATTAATGATTTTTTTTTTTTGACATTTAAATTTTCTGTCAACTGAAAAATCATCAATATTCGTCGTAACTTGGTTTTTAATCAACAACACTTTTACATTTATTTTTGAGGATAAAATGGTAAATTTGTTTTCTAGTTGTTTCATTTTTTGACCCAATATTTTCATTAATTTATACATTTAGCCAAAAACCTTACGAGAAAAGGTTTTGCCTTTACGTTCTGTATTTCCTAGGTCGTCGTTTCACCACGTTGCTTGCGTGGAAAGAGAAGCGAGAATTGACAAAAAGCGAGAAATTTAATCAATAAACCCTCAGTGTGAAGTAAAAACCGTAGGCCCAAAATAGATTTTCTTTCCTGAGCATTAAATTTTATGAAGCTGATGCTTTTCTACAAATTAAAAAGACGAGCTGTGCTTGCGATGTGTGGTTCGATTTTCTCGGTGCCTCTCAAGTCCCAAATACTTCTTATCTTCTTTTTTTCTCCTCTTGCCATTCTTTTATTGCTTCTAGAGTTTAGTGGTCAAGAAGCTTCCTCGTGTTTGTCTCTGTATGCAATCAAAGGTTGCATTTTTTTCGGATGTATATCTGATTTTGGTGTTTTCTGTCATAGGGTCTTTTAAAAATCTTTACTTTCTTTGTAATTTCTTTGCTTTTTCGACTCTTGCTAAGAGTTTTTTTTGGGATGAGATCATGAAATGGTTGGCGCTGGAGTTATGAAGTATTGGAGAAACCGGTGGAGTTATCGGATACTTGGCTGTGTATTTGGTAATTTCCGGTTAGCTTTTGGTGGATGATTTTGATCAAATCAAATATGGAGGGTTCTTCAGAATCTAATTCCAGAGGATTGAACACCTCTGGGGTTTCAGAGTTCTTACCAACTGAGAGAATGATTACAGATCGTTCTAAGTCCTTTTCTCACATTGGTCATGTTAGAAGCTTACTTGGTTCACACATGGAAGATAACTTGAGACTTGATAATGACTCTATTGTGAGAGCTTTCGAATCTGAGGATGTTAGCTTGCGTCAGTGGCTAGACATTCCAGACCGATCCGTTGATGCTTTCGAGTGTTTTCACGTTTTCAGACAAATCGTTGAGATTGTGAATGTAGCTCACTCTCAAGGCATTGTTGTTCATAATGTCAGGCCATCTTGTTTTGTTATGTCTTCATTTAACCATGTTTCGTTTATTGAATCCGCTTCTTGTTCGGATTCCGGGTCTGATGAGGAAAGTCCAAAGGAAAGAACAACAAAGTCTCAAGAGATAATTCGTAGCTCGAGAAAAGGGGAGTTTCAAGAGAAGAAACAACCTTTTCCTATGAAACAGATCTTAGCAATGGAGATGAGTTGGTATACAAGTCCTGAAGAAGATAATAGTTCTTCTGATACTTGTGCTTCTGATGTTTATCGTCTTGGTGTTCTTCTCTTTGAGGTTTGTGAGATTGTTATGTTAGCTGTTTTGTTTTCTTCAGAAAACTGATTTGATGAATGTTAGTCTTTGTGCAGCTATTTTGCCCTGTCTCCTCCAGAGAAGAGAAGTCAAGGACTATGTCTAATTTAAGACATCGTGTTCTTCCACCTCAGATATTGCTCAATTGTCCTAAAGAAGCTTCCTTTTGCTTGTGGTTACTGCATCCCGAGCCTAGCTATCGACCATCGATGAGGTGATTGATTCTCTCTTTAATATGTTCAATTCTATTTGAGGGAAGTCCTATCATATTTGAGTCTTGTCTCCTTTGTCTCTACTGGTGCAGTGAATTGCTACAAAGTGAGTTTATCAACGAACCTAGAGAGAATTTGGAAGAACGTGAAGCTGCAATAGAGCTACGGGATAGAATCGAGGAACAGGACTTACTGCTTGAGTTCTTGATGCTGATTCAACAAAGAAAGGATGAAGTTGCAGGCAAATTGCGGGATACGATTTCGCTTCTTTCTTCCGACATTGATCAAGTCGTAAAGCGACAGTTGGTTTTGAAGCAAAAAGGGAATGATGTCCATTCGTTCTTGGTCTCAAGAAAACGGATTAGACAAGGAGTTGAGGGAGTTGCAACAGAGGAAAATGAGGATAATACCATTGATGAGGAACCTAAGCTTGATGAAACTCTGGGAAGCACGCTTCTTGAAAGCTCTAGGTTAATGAGAAATCTCAAGAAACTGGAATCAGTCTACTTTGCAACAAGATACAGACAAATCAAGGCTGCTTCTGAAAAACCGTTGGCTAGATATTATTCTGCATTGAGTAGTGATGGTAGAACGTCAGAGAAAAGTTCAGTAAGCAACCCGACACAACAACTCAAAGATCCCATCAATGAATCGAGACAAGGCGGGTGGATCGATCCATTTTTAGAGGGTTTGTGCAAGTATTTAACTTTCAGTAAGCTAAGAGTGAAAGCGGATTTGAAGCAAGGAGATTTGTTGAACTCATCCAACCTCATATGCGCAATTGGTTTTGACCGTGATGGGGAGTTTTTCGCCACGGCTGGTGTCAACAAGAAAATCAAGATATTTGAATGTGAGTCGATAATAAACGATGGCCGTGACATTCACTACCCGGTGGTGGAACTAGCCTGCCGGTCTAAGCTAAGTGGTATATGTTGGAACAGCTATATCAAAAGCCAAATTGCGTCAAGTAACTTTGAAGGCGTGGTTCAGGTTAGTTCGCTATTGCAAATAAGGAAAACTATTAACTGCATTAATTAATGCAAAACAAAGCTTTAACAAAGATTTATCATCTGTTAGGTGTGGGATGTTGCAAGAAGCCAATTGGTTACAGAGATGAAGGAGCACGAGAAACGTGTATGGTCCATCGACATTCCATCAGCAGATCCAACATTGTTAGCCAGCGGTAGCGATGATGGTTCTGTTAAGCTATGGAGTATCAATCAGGCAAAATTCTAAACTAAACTAAACCAAAACGTACTTGAAACCATTCTTGGAAAACGCGAGAATTTAGTTCTTGGAGGGATGTATGTTGACGGTTCAGTTTGTTTTCCGCTTTTTTCAGGGGATGAGTATTGGAACCATCAAGACAAAGGCAAATGTATGTTGTGTCCAGTTTCCGTCAGACTCGGGTCGGTCTATAGCATTCGGTTCAGCAGATCACAAAGTTTACTACTATGATTTAAGACACCCCAAGCTTCCACTTTGCACAATGATGGGTCACACCAAGACCGTGAGTTATGTCAGGTTTGTAGATTCATCAACACTTGTGTCTTCTTCGACGGATAACACGCTGAAGTTATGGGACTTATCGATGTCTAATTCCTGTGTTAATGAAAAGCCTGTTCACTCATTCATGGGACACACTAATGTAAAGGTACTTGTTCTATTCAAACTTCACTTCAAACCTGCCTTTTTAGATAACCAACACAATTTTCTGCTCTTGCAATGTGTGTAGAACTTTGTTGGATTATCGGTCTCTGACGGGTATATAGCTACAGGCTCGGAGACTAATGAGGTATGTCTACTCCATTTTTATTTTTTATTTTTTTTTTGAATCTACCCTACTCCATTTTTAAAGATTTACAAAAAGGAAGAACCTTTTATCCCATTTAGTTCAAAAGGAAGGAGCTCTGTTTTTTCTTTTTTTTGGGCTAAAGGAAAAACCTTTGGTCCCATTTGTCAATAAAAAACGTGACCTTGTTGTGCTTCACTACTGGGCAGGTTTTTGTGTACCACAAGGCATTTCCAATGCCGGTTTTGTCATACAATTTCAAAACTATAGACCCTGTGTCTGGGCTCGAAATAGACGATGCATCGCAGTTCATATCATCCGTCTGCTGGCGCGGACATTCTTCCACCATAGTCGCAGCAAACTCCACCGGCAACATCAAGATTCTGGAGATGGTATGAACAAATGTGACTCAGGGGCAAAATGGTATTTTCCAGAGATTTCTCATTCTTGATTTTGAGTGATATAGGAAACAATTTTGGGAGAGGGAGAGAGAGTAGGAAATTTGTTGTTATTATAGAAGTGTGTATATAGAAGAATATGTGATCTTTGTATCTGTATAGAACTTATTGTAAGCCCCAATGAAACCACTAGGTCACTTGAGATACAAGTAATCTTTAACCTATTCAAAAGACTTCTATGTTGCATATAGCCTGCAGCTGCAACATTCCCTCCAAATTTGATTATATATTGATTCTATACACAGTGATTCTTTTTAGATTCAGCTTCTGAAACTAACCTATCTACAAGCCCCTTGAGCCTCTCAGCACCTGGGCCAGGTCTGATCTTAGCCACGTCTTCGACAACCGAGCATTCCGGTTTCCCACTGCACCACCCACCAGGAGTGAAACCACTTTCGTTTGTTCGGTTAAGCAGCTCCTCGTCGATCTTGTCCAATACCAAGTCATTTCTTCTGAATTTGCGAGCAAAGGCAGCACCGCTTGCAACCATCTGTCTCATGTCACTTAAGGACAACGAGCGAGGATGCATCTTTGGCGGTCTGTCCCACGTGATGTAGCGAAGATCATGGTTCACGGCGGTTTTGGAGAACTCAGGCACGTTACATATGACTGTGGGGAAGTAACCTTCAGTAGAAGCAACGAAATTGGTGTAATACATGAGTAAAGTTCTTGGTAAATTGTCCCAACCCCAAATGATATACTCAACGAATGGGCGTGATAAAACAAACCAAGCTGATCCTGCAAAAAAACAAAACCAGACAAAAAGTTGCAAACTTGATTGCAATCAAAACTCCAGGATTAAAAAAAAAAAAAAAACAGTACTGACCGGCAAATAACTTAAACGCAGTAGGTAAATTTCGACCAGGCGTGACCCAAAAAATTTCTGATTTGTTTAGCATGTGGAGTCCAGGATCAATCATTATAGGCTTTGCCCACTTCTCGCTTCACCGTGAGACACAAGAAACATTATATTTCATAAATTAGAAACAAACACAAAAAACAAAAACTCAGAAGCTGTGAGAGAGAAAAAGCTCACTTTTTCCAACCTAAGTCACTTGAGTGCTCGATAAAGTTGAGGTTCCGGTCCACAGTTGAAAACGTGTAAAGCAGATCTTGAAAACATGAAACATTGTTTTATAAAACCCAACAAGAGGAAGATCAAGAACAAAAAGGAAAGAAAATGATCAAAGTGTTTACCATCTTGGGTCACAAGGGGATAATCCGTAGGGCTGAGATTGATAAACCAATCCCAATTAGGGTTTCTCTTAAGAAGAATCGCACAAGCGTGAAGGGTTGTTGACACCATTGTTGGTCCGGCATAGGTCACAAGATTAGCTTTAGTTATCATATAGACATTCCCTATCTTCGAATACACGGAATCTTTATCGATGCGAGAAGCCAGCTCTAGTCTCTCATCAACCGGAGATTCAAGATCCATGTGAACAATGTATTGATTCCTTGGATGGTACACTGCTCTAAGGGTTCTCCAAAGGCTTTCAAGATCTCCTTTAGACCCTCCAACAAGGTAAGCGAAACGTGGGAGCTTGTCGTCTTCACTAGGTTGTTGCTCTGCAGCTTTTGAATCATTTGTGGCAAAACAGGAGAAAGTTCTATTGATTGGTGGTCGGAGAGAAGACATTAGACCCATGTTGAAGGAAGTAGCAAGGAGAAAAACGCAGACAAGACATGTGATCAGGAAAACCCAGTATTTCTCCATGTTTACATACCCCATTGAAGAAGGGAATTTGTGATCATGAGACATTAATAACAGAGTTTTATGTACCTGCTTTGGTCTGATAGGTTTGGTGAAGAACATAGACACTTAAACACTCTTTGAGTCGACTAAAAATCGAAAATTATAGGGAATAGTAGAGATGATGAAGAGAGAATCTTATTATAATCCTAATGCGTTCAACGTGAGCGTAACATGTATCATTCTTAATTAGATCGTATCAAGTGTAAATGTAATACTATAAAAAAAAATTATTCTTAGTTATTTCTAAAAGGCAAAAAAATGAATTATGTTTTTCTAAATAAAAATTATTAAAATAAACAGGGTAAAGTAAAATAAGATGATAATTATGTTTTTCGAAGCAATATAAATCAATTGTTAATTAACAGGATCTTAATAAAATTATTTTCATATAGATCATAATTATGAGGTTTATCAATTTTGAAATCTAAATATTTTGTTACAAGTGAAGGCGTGGGCTGATATAACTTTTTATTTTATTGTTTGAAAAACTAATAGTTTGAAGTTGTTTGTTTTTTTTTCTATTATTGAGTATATTTTTCATTAGATTTTCTTACATTTTAATGTTTGAAGACATGATCGTGAAAACATTATAGAAGAATGTAGATAAAAACATATTAATATTCAAATAATTTAGTTTAAATAATTTAAAATCTTTTGATCACTGTTCTATTTTATTGTTTGAAAAACTAATAGTAGTTTGAAGTCATTTGTTTTTTTCTTTCTATTATTGAGTATATTTTTTATTAGATTTTCTTACATTTTAATGTTTGAAGACATGATCATGGAAACACTATAGAAGAATGTAGATAAAAACATATTAGTATTCAAATAATTTAGTTTAAATAACTTAAAATCTTTTAATCACTGTTCTATGTATTTAAGACATAGTTTTTTTAAGTATCGTAAGAACTCAATTGAAGAAGAAGGAAGAGTTAAACAACTTAGAAAGGGTGTGTGAGAATTAGAGAGAAATCATGGACATATTTATACTAAAACATTTGAAGTCGAATACATTAATCTAGACATCACATATATCATCATTCCATTAGACATTCTATTTATTGATTTTTAATTTTTAAATTTTTACTAAATTTTGGTTTTATAAAATTTTAAAAACGGTTTGATTTGACAGCAAAATAAAACATTAAACCACAATAATTTAGAACAGTTTGTTTTAAGTTATTTTTAACATATCATCAGATAAGAACCAATAAAAAATGACACATAATCGGTAAATAGTGTAAAAATGTCTTTTTGCAGTCGAAACTCATTCTAGAGTTAACACGTAAGCGAAACACTGTGAAAATCGATATGAGCGCGACACGTAAGCAAATCACTACACAAATAAGTATATAGATATATTTTCTCACGTATTACACAATGCTTAATCTAGCGAATAATAAAACTCTTACCAAAAATAATTTTTTCCCTAAAAAAGGTGGGCATTCATAGAGGATATATCCAATTTTTTGAAACTACAACACGAATAAGAAATTTAGAAAATAAAATTCCTATCTCTCATCACTAAATAGTAAATTCCGTTCCTGTATTCTTTTCTTTTAGATTATCAGGAGGTTTTGGGCCAAAACCCGTAATCCCTCAGACCTGAAATCATAGCATCTAATATTAGTTTCGTCCCAGAACCACTTGAAAACGATTTAGTCATATAAATTTTCCAAAGGAAAAAAACATTTAGTATACATGAATGTAAGTAATTATATTTTTTCCCTTGGGAAACGATCATCAGTCATCACAAAACTGAAATAAAACTGAAAGTGAAAAGAAAGAAAATGTGAGTAAGTCTTTTAAAAATGATTAAAAATGTTTACATGTAACAGATAAAGCTTAATTCATACAATTTGTTAAGCTTAAAGATAAACCGTTACAAGTTATGATGCTGAGTCGAAAAACCTTTTTAGAAAGAAGTTACAAAGTGAGATAAATCTTAAGGTTCATACAATTTGTTAAGCTTAAAGTTAAACCATTACAAAGAGGCTACAAAGCGAGATAAAGTTTAAGATTCTTACAATTTATTAAAGATAAACCGTTACAAGCTATTAATATTTTTTTAAAACTATTTTTTTCACCTTATATCCAATCTATAAAAAAATTCAATAAATATATGTATCTGAGTTATAAATCTTTCATTCAATTATATAACCGATTGAATTGGATGATTCACTAGTCTTTGATAGATGAATAATATAAACAACTACAGTCGTAATAAATTGAGCGTAGGAAAACGACTTTATTCCTGGTTGAGTGCAATAACTGGATCAGAAAAACAAGTCATATAGTAATTGGTAATTGAATCAATATATTAGGTATAATTAGGCACAATTAGGTACGTATGGACCACGGTTATGCCTGAATTTCATCAATTTATTGTTTTACGCCACGACTGGTGTCAACAAGAAAGCAAAACATTTGAATGTGAGTCGATAATAATAATAAACGATGTGGTGGAACTAGCCTGCCGGTCTAAGCTAAGTGGTATATGTTGGAACAGCTATATCAAAAGCCAAATTGCGTCAAGTAACTTTGAAGGCGTGGTTCAGGTTAGTTCGGTATTGAAACTAATATAACTTCATTAATCAATGCAAAAAAAAAACGGAACAAAACCTTTAACAAAGATTTATTATTTGTTGGTTACGAAGATGAAGGAGCACGAGAAACGTGTATGGTCCATCGACATTCCATCAGCAGATCCAACATTGTTAGCCAGCGGTAGCGATGATGGTTTTGTTAAGCTATGGAGTATCAATCAGGCAAAATTCTACACTACACTAAACCGAAACATACTAAAAACTATTTTGGAAGACACGAGAATTTAGTTTTTGGTATTTACCCAAAAAGCTTCAAAATTAAGTCAGACTTTTGACTTTTATATTTTTTTTTACTTATTTTGGCCATTTTATAATATGTTGCTTGACAAACACTCATCTTAATAGCAGATCCCCGGGTTTTTATATTCACCTTCCTCACCATATTAAACCCAAAAGCTTCAAAATTAAGTCAGACTTTTGACTTTAGTATTTTTTCCTTATTTTGGCCATTTTTCTACCATGTTGCTTGACCAACACTCATCTTAATATTGCAGATATGAAACTTTTAACACACTAAATTTTCTTTATATGTTGCGTAATCTAAGTTCGTTTTCAATTTTCAAAATCGAATTGATAATTATTTTCTTCTATGAATGTCACTACACGTTACTGTGTGTTAAAAATGGTGTATCCGTTCTATGAACTTGTCTCCCGTTGGATTATGTTAATTTGTTTGAAATGTTTTTATAATCGCAATAACCTAATTCCTTCATTTATCTTATTACGCATTTGTTTAAAATTATATGTTACCGAATTTATATCTGCAAATACGAAGGCATGAATAATAGAAACAAATTAATTGAAGAAGAGAAATACATGAAATATGATAAGTTTTGTTTTTGATAAAATGAATATGATAAATTACAAATCTGTATTATGGGATAATAACGATATTTATACCACTTTCTAACCACTATCCCTTAATGTACTTTACTAAAAACTGAAACATCTTTACATTGCTAACTATTTGATGCGAATCTCTTAGACCTATGGTTCTGAGGTTTGTAAATTGGAGGCTGTATTTTAAACTTGTATAATTGCATTCAATAAATAAACTATTTAAGCATGGAAGATTATACCCAACTCAGCGTGGTGATATTGGCTCCTATCCAAGTTAGGTAAGGTTGCACTAGAATATATAACTGTCTCATGTGTAAATAGATGACAATTAATCCTTACATTTTTACATGTATTCACTTGAACATTGTCGCCACTCGACTCCTACTTTGAAAACAATCATATCAAATTTTGCTTGCTTTGCCATCTTGAGTAACAACTAATGTACGTTGGAGTTACAAAGCAATAGAATAATAAAATATATTTCTGGAAAGGAGGGCATCATCAATGGAAAGAGGAAATGATCTCCAACACACTTTGCTTTGCCTTTGCATGCGATAATTATGGAAAGAAATTTGAGAAGACGAGCTACTTAAAAATAGTCTCCAACACACTTTGACTTGTTTAATATGCACTCATTCAATTCTAAGCTATAAGGGGACTTGGCAGCAAGACTGGTATGCCATTCTCGTCTTCAAATTTTTCTTTCAATTCACGATTTCTCTATTTATTATGGAGTGCAATCACTACCATTATATTGTACAACGCAATTATTGATAATTCCCAAGACGATTATTTTTTTTTAGACCCACCTTTGTATAAAGTGTGATAAAGTTTGATGATCAAGTGGATCAGTGGCAAATGCAACTGCAACAAAAAAAAAAATTGTATTTTGGTTTTCTTTAAAGCTCCAATCAGAAGTAAGGGAGTTGAGTTCAAATATTGATGAAGGTTAACTGCAAGTTCAAACTCATGAGTCACTAAACCAATATTTCTAGTACTACTTATGGTATTGAATTTTTTTATACTGAAATGTATGGTAAATATCATGTAAACCTACAAAACGATTATATTTCCGAAGATCCATGCATACCTGAATCAAGAGAATTGGAAGGCTCATAATTGACAAATGTCTTCTCAGAATTTTCTTCTCACTTTCAAGTTTCAACGAACCTTTTAACACACTCAACTAAATTGTATATAGCCTGTCCAAAAGACTCGTTTGAGGAGAGCTTCGTTGTAACAGAGTTTTTAGGTTACAAAGGGGCGACAGAATTTGAACAAGAAAGCTATGATTTGGGTTAAGTGTTTGGGCTAATGGACTTTTTGGGCCTATATCAATTTGACGTTCTCTGGTTGAGTTGTTTTTACGTGGGAGTATTTGGTAAAATGGTAATTTCCAGAGATTTCTCATTGTTGATTTAATTGATAGGAAACAATTTTGGGGGAAGGGGAGAGTAGGAAGAGTGTAAACATTGTTGCTACTATAGAAGAATATATAATCTTTGTATTTGTATAATGTACTTATTGTAAGCCCTAATAAATCACTAGTTTGCTTGACATACAAGTAATCTTTAACCTATTTGAAAGCTTACAATCAATCTATGTTGTATTATATATATAGCCTGAAGCTGCAAGACTCTCTCCAAGCAATGATTTCTCCATCCAAAAGAAATTGATTCTATTCACACTGATTCTTTCCTGATTTAGCTTCTTCAACCAACCTATCTACAAGCCCCTTGAGCCTCACAGCCCCTGGGCCAGGTGTGATCTTAGCCACGTCTTCGACAACCGAGCACTCTGGTTTCCCACTGCACCACCCACCGGGAGTGAAACCACCTTCGTTTGTTCGGTTAAGCAGCTCCTCATCGATCTTATCCAATACCAAGTCATTTCTTCTGAATTTCCGACCAAAGGCAGCACCGCTTGCAACCATCTGTCTCATGTCTCTTAAGGACAACGAGCGAGGATGCTGCTTCGGTGGTCTGTCCCACAAGATGTAGTGAAGATCATGGTTCACGGCGGTTTTGGAGAACTCAGGCACGTTACATATGACTGTTTGGAAGTAACCTTCAGTAGTAGTAACGAAATTGGTGTAATACATGAGCAAAGTTCTTGGTAAATTATCCCAGCCCCAAATGATATACTCCACGAATGGGCGTGATAAAACAAACCAAGCTGATCCTACAAAAAACAAAACCAGACAAAAAGTTGCAAACTTGATTGCAATAAGCACAGAGTAATCTGTTTTTAAAAACTCCATGATAAGAGAAAACAGTACTGACCGGTAAATAACTTGAACGCAGATGGTAAACTTCGACCAGGCGTGACCCCAAAAATGTCAGATTTGTTTAGCATGTAGAGTCCAGGATCAATTATTAATGGCATTGCCCGCCACTTGCTTCACCGTGCGACACCAAGAAACATTCATTATAATAATAAATTAAAATAAAAAAAAAAAATCAAGAATTCAGAAGCATTGAGAGAGATGAATCTCACTATTTCCAGCCTAAGTCAGTTGTCTGCTCGATAAAGTTGAGGTTCCGGTCCACAGTTGAAAACGTATAAATCAGATCTTCAAACATAAAACAGTGTTTGTCAAACTCCAACAAGAGGAAGATCAAGAACAAAAAGAAAAGAATATGATCAAAGTGTTTACCATCTTGGGTCACAAGGGGATAATCCGAAGGGCTGAGATTGATAAACCAATCCCAATTAGGGTTTCTCCTAAGAAGAATCGCACAAGCGTGAAGGGTTGTTGACACCATAGTTGGTCCATTATAAGTCACAAGATTAGCTTTAGTTATCATATAGACATTCCCTATCTTAGAATATATAGAATCTTTATCAATGCGAGAAGCCAGCTCTAATCTCTCATCAACCGGTGATTCAAGATCCATGTGAACAATGTATTGGTTCCTTGGATGGTACACTGCTCTAAGGGTTCTCCAAAGGCTTTCAAGATCTCCTTTAGACCCTCCAACAAGGTAAGCGAAACGTGGGAGCTTGTCGTCTTCACTAGGTTGTTGCTCTGCAGCTTTTGAATCATTTGTGGCAAAACAGGAGAAAGTTCTATTGATTGGTGGTCGGAGAGAATACATTAGACCCATGTTGAAGTAAGTATCTAGGAGAAAAACGCAGACAAGAGATGTGATCACAAATGAGAATACCCATTTCTTCTCCATGTTTACATACCCCATTCAAGAAGGGATAGTTACTGAAAGATGAGAGATTGAAACCTTTTTCTCTGTATTGGTTGTTGCAATTTCTGTATGGACGCAGAAGAGGAAGAAGAGAGATTTATGTATCTGCTTTGATCTGATACGTTTGGATAGACAGTGAAACACTCTTTGTTTCGACTAATTATAGAAAAGAAATGATGAAGAGAGAATGAATTATGAAATTCTTCCAAAAACAAAAACAAAAACTATTTTTCCTCAAAAAAGAAAGATGGATATTCGTAGAGGTTATGTCTCAATTATTTTTTTTAACTCCCTATCAGTCATCATCGTTAAAATGATACTATTATTTAATTCCAAACTGTTTGCAATCCGCATATCAAAATTGGTTGAGCAAAATCATGATAAAAAAATTGTCAACCATTAACCTTGAAACGGCAACGTTAAATCTATATCTCCATCATTTTAATTCTTTTAACTATTTACCATCCGCATTTTAAATCCTCAACTATCACAAGCATTGAATAATTCTCAACTCGTTCTTTACTTTGCAAAATCGTAATAAAAATAGTTAAATAACCTCAAGAAGTTTTGATTTTTGTCATCGTTCAAGCCTTTTTCAATATCTTCATCTGCCTCTGTGAAACACTAGACCAAAACTTTCAACATCCAATGTAAATGCAATGCTAGCTCATTACCAATAACAAAAACGGCATTCCAATATGGATGGTTGTATAGATCTAACTTATGTCATCTAAGGTCCGATCGAGTCTAACTTATGACCACTTCTTTTGTAATGATTCTTGGATTGAAGCTTTTCCCTCCAGAATATCGAAGTACATTTTGCTTTGAGGGATATGTTCATATGACCATAGAGCGCTCCTTACTTTCCTTGATCAAACGAATAGGTCTCTTTCGGTAATAGATTGTGGTAATAGATTGTGAGAGAAAGAGGAAGTCATGCATTTAATCTAGCAACTGTGGAATGAAGAGGAAAGTGGTTCCGTTCTTCAAAAGATCTCCGCTTGTAGACGTGAGAGATTATCCGATGGCCTAAAGAACAAAACCATTTTTGTTTACATGAATGCATCACAAACTCACAGTGCAGAAATAAAACTGAAAGTGAAGAGATGAAGAACGGATAAGATTTCGTATAACCTAATCCAACGGTTGAAGTGTAGAGTTTTGTGTATTGGATTATGCAATTGTAATTTGTAACATACGATTTAAGGAAATGTGATAACAACACTTCAACTACACTACCAAAACTATTCTCCCATTTTTATATTACTTTGCCATTAAGAAATTAAACTCCTCTATTTCAATTCACCTTCTGTCAAAACCTATGAGTTGGAAATCTTCATTCAATTATCATAAGCGATTGAGTTGGATAGTATTTTGATAGTACAATTAAATGAATAATAAACAGTTATAGTTGTAATACGTGTAGGAAAACGACTTTATTTCTCGTTGAGTTGCAATAAATTGATCAGAAAAACAAGTATATAGTAATTGACTAATTGGTAATGAAGGTACGTATGGACCACGGTTTTATATACCTGCATTTAATAAATATATTGAAAAAATAGAAAACAAAAAAATCTCCATTACCGGTTAGTTTTGATTAATTAAGTTAATAGATAACCATCGAATTGACTGTTGACCCTGAATGACCTACCAGCACTAAGACTAGGGTCAATGGAGTGATGATGTACGTTTAAATCAAAAACAATTCATAAATAAATTTCCCTGCCTGAGATATTAAAATTGCAGCCTTTACCTTTACGAAAGTAAAAAACGTATTTTGTTGGAGTTCTAGAAGAAACAAGAATATAAATTGAAATGGGGAATGCAAAATCAAGAAATCTTTTAATCTTTTGTCAATTTTTCTCTCATTTTCTTGATTTTTTCAGATGGTAAGTGTGACTCAGGGGCAAAATGTTATTCCAGGGATTTCTCAATCTTGATTTGAGTGACATAGGAAACAATTTTGGGAGAGGGAGAGAGTAGGAAAATATGATCTTTTTATATATGTATAGAACTTGTTGTAAGCCCTAATGAAACTACTAGGTTACTTGACATACAAGTAATCTTTAACCTATTCGAAGGATTACAGTCAATCTATGTTGTATATAGCCTGAAGCTGCGAGATTCTCTCCAAGTATTGATTTCTCCATTCAAAAGAAATTGATTCTATTCACACTGATTCTTTCCTGATTTAGCTTCAGCAACTAACCTATCTACAAGCCCCTTGAGCCTCTCAGCCCCTGGGCCAGGTGTGATCTTAGCCACGTCTTCGACAACCGAGCACTCCGGTTTCCCACCGCACCATCCACCGGGAGTGAAATCGGCTTCGTTTGTCCGGTTAAGCAGTTCCCTATCGATCTTATCCAAAGCCCTGTCGTTTCTTCTGAATTTCCGACCAAACGCAGCACCGCTTGCAATCATCGGTCTCATGTCTCTTAAGGACAACAAGCGAGGATGTTGTCTCGGCGGTCTGTGCCACGTGATGAAGTGAAGATCATGGTTCACCGCGGTTTTGGAGAACTCGGGCACGTTACATATGACTGTGTGGAAGTAACTTTCAGGAGAAGAAACGAAATTGGTGAAATACATGAGCAAAGTTCTTGGTAAATTATCCCAACCCCAAATGATATACTCCACGAATGAGCGCGATAGGACCATCCAAGCTGATCCTGTGGAAAAAAACAAGACAAAAAGTTGCAAACTTGATTCCAATAAGAACAGAGTACTCTGTTTTTTTTTTTTTCAAATCCAAGATTAGTTAAAACAGTACTGACCAGCAAATAACTTGAACGCAGCTGGTAAACTTCGACCAGGCTTGACCCAAAAAATGTTTGATTTGTTTAGCATGTAGAGTCCAGGATCAATCATTAATGGCATTGCCCTCTTCTCGCTTCACGTGAGACATCAAGAAACATTAAATTAAGCTAACTAAAAACAAGAAAACAAAAATTCAAAAGCTGTGAGAGAGAAGAAGCTCACTTTTTCCAACCTAAGTTACTTGTGTGGCTGATAAAGTTGAGGTTCCGGTCCAAAGTTGAAAACGTATAAAGCAGATCTTCAAACATGAAACATTTTTTTTCAAAACCCAACAAGAGGAAGATCAAGAACAAAAAGGAAAGAAAATGATCAAAGTGTTTACCATCTTGAGTCACAAGGGGATAATCCGAAGCACTGAGATTGATAAACCAGTCCCAGTCTTGATTTCTCTTAAGAAGAATCGCACAAGCGTGAAGGGTATTCGACACCATTGTTGGTCCGGTATAGGTCACAAGATTAGCTTTAGTTATCATATAGACATTCCCTATCTTAGAATACATGGAATCGTTATTAATGCGAGAAGCCAGTTCTAGTCTCTCTTCAACCGGAGATTCAAGATCCAAATGAATAATGTATTGATTCCTTGGATGGTACAATGCTCTAAGAGTTCTCCAAAGGCTTTCAAGATCTCCTTTAGACCCAGAGACAAGGTAAGCGAAACGTGGGAGCTTGTCCTCTTCACGAGGTGGTTGATCTGCAACTTTAGAATCATTTGTGGGGAAACCAGAGAAAGTTCCATTGATTGGTGGTCGGAGAGAAGACATTAGACCCATGTTGAAGGATGTAGCAAGGAGAAAAACGCAGGCAAGTGATGTGACCACAAATGAAAATACCCATTTCTTCTCCATTGAATGGGATTTGTGATCTTGAGACATTAAAAAAAGAACTGAGACTTTTGCCTGAATCAAAACCCTGTTTAGCAATCTGCAGAGCAATCTTTGAAACTCTGTATTGCAATCCGGTGTGTGAGCTCAGATTAGGCCACTAGCATCATCAACCAAATAAGAATATGAGATTAACCTTAGATTGATCTGACAAAAAAGCAGCTAGAGAGAAACTCTTCACCAAAACCACACAAACAATATCATTATCGATTTCTGAAAGAGATCAAATTTAAAACCCATTTTTTTAAATTGCTCAAGGTTTGGTATGATCTAAGAATTGAATAGATGATACTGAAGGAAGAGAGATTGAAACCTTTTTGTCTGTATTGGTTGTTGCAATTTCTGTATGGACGCAAGAGAGGAAGAAGAGATATTTATGTATCTGCTTTGGTCTGATACGTTTGGTGAAGAACATAGACAGTGAAACACTCTTTATGTCGACTAAAATTATATAGAAGAGATGATCAAGAGAGAATGAATAATGAAATTCTTCCAAAAACAAAAAGCAAAACTTTTTTTTTCTCTAAAAAAAAGATGGATATTCGTAGAGGTTATATCCAATTATTTTGAAGCTGCAACACGAAAACGAAATAAAATTAAAACTCCTATCTCTCAACACTAAATAGTAAATTCCGTTTCTTTATTCTGGCAATGCGTAAACGATTTAGTCAATAAATTTTCAACAAGAAAAGAAAAACGGTTTTGTTTACATGAATGTATATTTACATTTTCTTTTTTCTTGGGAGACCATCATTAGTCATCACAAGCTGAAAATAAAACTGAAAGTGAAGAGATGAAGAACGGCTGAGATTTCGTATAACCTAATCCAACGGTTGATATAGAGTTTGTGTCTGGATTTGAAGAAGTCTTTTAAAAGTGATTTAAAATGTTTAAATGTAAGTATGTAACCTATGCCGTAGTCAATGGGTTATGCAATTGTGACATTCGAATAAGGAAATGTGATAACAACACTTCAACTACACTACCAAAAACCCATTCTCCCCTTTTATATTACTTTGCCATAATAAAGAAACTTCTGTATTTCTTCACCTTCTATCAAATCTATGGAAATATTATTAATTATGTATTTGAGTTATGAATCTTCATTCAATTTTCATAACCGATTGAATTGGATGGTTCACTATTTGATAGTAAATGAATAATAAACAATTTTAGTTGTAATAAATTGCGAGTAGGAAAACAAATTTATTTCTGGTTGAGCAGCTGCACTAGTTTGATCTGAAAAAACAAGTCATATAGTAGTAATTGGTAGTGAATGTACGTTTACACCTGAAACTAAATCAATATATAATTTTTTTATTACAATAAATTTTTAAAAAGAAAAATCTTACAAAAAAATCAAAAGAACAAAAAAATCCGCTCTATTACCAATTAGTTTTGAGTAATTAAGATAAACATCAGATTGACTGTTGACTCTGAAAGACCTACCAGCACAAATACTACTAAATAAATTAATCAACAATTAATAAATAAATGAGAGTAATATGTTAAAAAAACAATTAATAAATAAATTCTCCAGGAATATTATAATTGCAGCCTTTAGAGGGAAAAAAACGTAATTTTTGGATTTCTAGAAGAAACAAGAAACATAAAAATTGAAATGTGAACGCAAAAGCCAGATTTTTTTTTTCTTGGGTTAATCTTTCTCTCAGTTTCTTCTTATGGAATCAAGAAGAAGTCTGCCCTCATTCTGTATCTTCGAAAGATCTGGTTTTTTCTTCTTTAAACTTTGTAGTTCTTTAAAAAAAAATGGGAATTTCTCATTAGCTAAAACCTAAAACCCTGAAAATTTTCAGAAGAATTTGCTTCAACACTTGTCTCTCTCTTCTCGTTTCTTTCTCCTGTAAATCCCAAGGATTTTCCGTGATTCAATGTTTTCTGTTATTAAGAACTGAAACCAAAGGTTTGATATATAAAGGTCTGATCTTTTGTCTTGTTTCTTGTCTTGGCTATTTCGTGGAGCAGGATCAAATGAGTGCGCCGATTTTACTATGCGACGGCTTCGATGTGCGTCGAATTCTAATTGGGAAGTCAAACGGCGATGAATTATCGAGGGTGACCACCGAGGAAGACGACGAAGCTGTGTTTTCCGGTGATAGCTTACCCGGAGATGCGGCTGAGGAAGAAGAGGAGGAGTGGTCTGGAGAGAATCGTTTCGATTTTTACTTCGTTAAGCAATTCGCTTACGATGACCCTGAGATTAAGGCTAAGATCGATGAAGCTGACAATGAGATTTATCACTGTAACAGTGACAGGATTCACATTGCTAACAGAT